ATGGAAGGATAGGTATCTGGATTGGGCCAGATCTGAAACATAAGGAACATTAAGATCTTTGTGGATAATTTTATTAGTGACAAAGTAAGGAGCACTGAGGATTTTATGAAGGATTTTGGATTGTAAGGATTGGATGCGAGAGGAATTAGATGGTTAGATGGAATTAGCTCAACTCCGTAAGTCCAAATAGGTCTAATTATAGTCAAGTATATGAGACTTTTGTAATTAATGGGAAGTTTAGAGCGTTTGTCGAGTAAGTGTTAAAGTAATCGGAAACGCCGAGCGGTTTCTTGTCGTTTCAGTCTAGTATGAGGATGACTTTAGATTAAATTTGCAATCTGTAAATTTCTTTGCAATGAGCAATTTTTTGGCAGCTTCACAGTTTCCCATCACGTCCGGGATATAAATCAAATCAGTAGGTCTCTTGGCCAACGCCTACGTAATCGTCGTAGTGGGGTGTACGGGTTTCTTGTACGATGGAGGATTTCTGTCAGGGGATTCATGTTGTACGTCATTCTTTGGTAAAAGTTATTGTAGTTCTCTTTTGCAGTATCAAAAATTTTAGGTAAGTTTAAGTCTATGTAGTGTATCATTTGCGACATAAAACGGTGCGTCAACTATCCTTCGCAACACTTTTGACTGAAAGGACTGAACTTTTTTAATGTTAGGAGTTTTAGCAGAGCCCCACAGTTCTATGCCGTATGTTCAAATATGTTTAAGTAAAACTTTATAAAGGGTTATTTTGTTAGTTGAAGTTAATTTTGAACGTCTGTCAAGTAATCTGGATAAAAGACCAAGAAAGATAAAAAAATATATTTTAATTTTTAAAAACCGACTACAGAAATCGGGAAATCATATCCACCCTTCGGGGATTTACACCCATATCTACTTAAACATCTTGGTAGATTGATAACACGGGCGGATCTACGGGAGAGGCTTTTGGGCTAAACTCCTCTTTTAAAGTTATCTTTTAAATTATTCTTGTTCTTGTAATTACATTTAAAAGGACTTTAGGAATCACTTAAACAACATTTCATGTAGGTAGTTATGTTATAGTAGGTAGATATGCTGAAGCCAAATAATTATCCATTGTGCGTTAGTATTTTTACTTTCCTACCTATACTAGGTAAGAAAAGTATTGCAATCGGGTCAAATTTCCGATGTGCAGTTTTCGACGGATCTGTAGATTTCAGAGCCCCCTGAGTCCAGAAAACACATTTTCAGCCATTGGTCTGCCTCTGCCAAGATTATCTCGAGAACAAGTAGACCGATTTTGTTGCTTCTTTTTTTATATTGTAGGGTTTTGACTACTGATGCTTGTGACACAAATTGGGTGCACCCTGCGCAACAGTGGCTGCATATTATAAGTGAAATAATAAGTGAAAAGCATATTTTTCTATAGACTGTAGCGCAAAAACAGCTCTAACAATTTTGATTAAACTTTCCTATAAATGTCTAATTAATGTCCTTTCAATTTTCGTAAATATTATAAATTCTCGAGGTAATTCAGGGGAAAAAGATATAAAGAAAAAAAAATGGTTTGTGTCCTAACTCGCCAAGCATATATTATGTGGTAAAATTTATATACACAACAAAAATAAATGTCTGCCAAGTAATGTCAGCATAGCTTCCTCACCGTTTTCATTGGTAAAAATATATCTATATTACAAGGTGTACAATATTTCCTATGAGAATAAAATCTCAGGAAGAAACCGATTCGGAAATACCCTTCAACATTCACGGGTTTGATATCCACGAAATTCGTTTATCAGCTAATATTAAAATACGAAAGAGTGCCCAAATCTTTTTTTTAATCAATTTTCAAGAAAATAAATCTAATTCATTTTTTTTTTTTTTTCTTAACCGACATATTTGAAGATATAAAAACTTTTCTGAAATAGATAAGAAAGTCGTTTGAGTGAACACACCATATTTTTTTTTTTTTTCAAAACGTGTTAGGACACAGTGAGAGAATGAAAAATTGACAAGAAAATCTTAAATCTTTGAGCCTGCCCTTTAAGCATAAAAAACTTATGGCTCAAATCCGGACAGCTAACATTAAGTTCCAACAAATAACTATCAAAACCATCTCTCACAGATTCAATCCAATAGAAACTAGCACCATCTACAATAAGAAAGAAACTGACAATATTTACTATTTCTTCATATCATACCCAGCATACTCCTCCCTCAACCACTATATTAACCTTTGGCTTAAACATTTTATATTAGTCATTCAAAAATCTAAGTGAAATAAATAAATTTACCGTAAAAATGACATTGTATTTAGAAATCCCCTTGCATTTATTAGCTTTGATTTTATAATATATATGATTTTATATGTTATGAAATTTATTCTGGATTTTCTACCTTAAACTTTTTGCAGATTTATTGGCATTAAATATTTCTACAAATATTTTTTAAAATTGTTGGGAGGAAGGCAAAAATTATTACAAGTATTAAAAGTGCAATGAAACAGCAAAGTGTTTCAATGAAGAAACACAAAAATTATAGAGTTTATAATAAATAAAATGAAATACACTAGCTATTTAAAATTATATCAAACCTATTTAAAATAAATTTTTTTAAAAAACACAGACAAAATTAAATTATTTACTGTCCTTTGAAATGTATTTTATTTTTATTTTTATTTGTTTTTCTAACTTTTAGACTTTCAAAGTTCTGATTTTTTTCTTATATGTTTTTTCATTCTTACATTAAAATATACTTTGCAGTATATATACTTTGCCAATACACTCAATCAACCAATATTTGTGGTTGTCATCTGAATTTATGAAAAAATGAGGCATATCTATAAAGAAATTCATATTTAAACAGCGCAAAAGCAATTCGTAGATATAATGATTAACACTGCTTTTGATAGTATCTTTTTTAAACATACTAAGAAGTTTTTTTTCTCATTAATTAGACAGATCTGGGTAAAATCTGAAGATGATTGAACCAGGTCTCCACGATTTTTAATGGAAACTGTATTCTGAAATTGATTTTTATTTTATCATATGACACCACTTGGACACATTCTTCACATTTAATATTTGTGGAAAAGCTTCTAAGGACATACCATAGTGAAAATCCAAAAAGTTATTAAAACAATAAATTTTTGCATAGGTATTTTAAAAAAATAAATATGAAACAAACCTCTTTGATGACGTCCAAAACTAATTTAAAAAAAAATTGTGATTCATCTTCAACATTTTCTAAAAAAAAAAAATTAAAAATATTCTCCTAAACTGTCAAACAATATTAAATTTGCAATATAGTAATATTGGAGAACACAATAATTGCCGATGAGAAATGTTGTACTGATTCTAAAACAATTGCTATTTTATCTCGGGATATCGAATCTTATAGTTCACGCATACTAAATATTTTTTGACCACTGGATCTTTTTAAAAAACTGTAGGGAAGAATGGAGTAAGTACTTGATTTTAAAATATGTTTTCGAGTGTGGATATAACACTTGTAAAGAGATTTTTAAGAATAGGTAAAATTTTATTTTTAATAACTTACTGATGAAAATATTCTTCATCTTTCAGATAGTAAAAACCAGATGCTACGCGCATTTCATAAAATGCAATTAAACCCTGTAGAAACAATGTTTGATAAAAAAATATTAAAATAATCAGATGGTTTAAATGTTAAATAGTGATTAAAAGCAAGGAAGCTATTGGTAATGGTTAGTACCTTTGGAGTGAGGGTACCTGAATACGAACATACATCTCCTCTCCATGCCCGCTCTACTTTATTCAATACTATAGGGAAAAACATGGCGGTTGAGCATGATCTCGGCCCAATCATCTCCCAGTATGAATGCAAGCCTCAAACAATATTTTCTTACAAAATACTAACACAACCAAGTTGTAGTGGTAAAGGTTTTATACAGTGATGGGCAAAAGCTACTTTGAGTACTGAGTACCAAGTATTTTACGCAAATACTGACCTGTTTTGAGTGCCAAAGAATTTAATTACTACTTCAGATCAGAACACCTATGAAGGTCTAAATTGGCTTAAGATACTTCTAGAATCAAACATTTAAGAATTTATATAATTTACTTTTAATGGTTTTGTTTCTTCTGCTTCTTTACTTAAAAATATTATAAGATTTATAAAAACTAAATTTTAATAATGCCTAAATTAAATTTATTAACTTTTGTTGATCAAAATATCTGTAAGTTTTCATAATATTTTACATATCACAATATGCTGATTTAAAATGATATTCCTTTGGTATGTATTACATCTTTAAAGTTCCAAATTTATGTAAATACATTTGTATTTGCTCAAAATAAACCATTTTCAAAACATTTTAGTAGATTTAAATAAATATTAGACTTTTACATTTGTTTTATGCTCATACTACTTTAAGTGATGTAAATAAAAAATTTTAAAACCTCTACATTGAAGAAACCCATCATAAAAAAACAAAAAATGATTCACTATGACTGTCTCAGACATTTCACTGTGCTAATATGTGGCTAAAATATACAATTAGTTCCAAACAAAAAATATCAAGATTTAAGGAATTGATAAATAAATACTGATTCTTAAACATTATTTTATTAAAGGTTGGATAACCACGGATGATCTATAAACTAATATTTTACGTGATCACGTTACATTCCAAAATATACATGTGAAATATTAATAAAATATAACTTTATATTTATGTTTTCGAACCTCATGGAGCGTGGGACTTTCAATGTCTGTAAAGACAAATGAAATTAATACCTAAATTATCATATATTACATTAAATAATACTATACAATATTTACATTCTTGTAAATTTCTAATTATTACCATATTTTGCCTATATTTATTTGATTTAACCTCAAGGGTAGTTATGACAATTAAAATGAAAATGACAAGTACAAAACACAACTACATATTTTTGTTTAAAAAAATAAAATCAGTTCTTAACCTATTTACTTAAAATCTTTAGAAAATGAATTCAAATATTTAATATATACATACTTTAATAATAAAAAAAAAGAAAGTATAAAAGCTACTATTAATTAAGTATACTTTCATACTAATAGTATTTATAAAAAAACTCAGATAAAAAATGTTAAAACAATTATTTTTCTTCAGTATTGATGCCGTATTTTGCTTTCATTTTATCCAGTTCATCTTTCTTCTTATCAATATCAACCCTCTTAAAAGCTTTGTTTGCCTATAAACAAATGATACATTAGTAAAATATAATAAATAAATCAGTAATAATTTTACATGTAATAATTAAGCACATATTAATTATAAAAATTTATATATGAGAAAACCTAGGAGATAAACAACTATCATACTGTAATTTTCGGTTTCTTTACTCAAATCTTTACTTTTCTGAGTTTTGGGTTCACAGAAAGGTTTTCGTTAAGCTATACATTAGGGGTATTCCTGCAACTGGTGTTAAGTATTTAAATGTGTTAGTCAAGAAACTAATATGAAATTAGTGTGTTAAATATGGTCACTTGCACATTTGATTTTAACAACAGAGCCTAGGAAAGCTGGTGTTAATTTTGTAAATGTACAGGGAAAGTTATTAAAAGGTTTTTATCTTCTGTTTATTACATTTGTTATAAGCAGAATGCAATATAAAAAAAGATATAGAAGGAATTCGGAAAATGTTGGACAAGAGAGGATAATAATTGTTTGCACAGTTACAGTATACCTCATGAAGTTCTAAATGAATAATATTTTTTTTCAAATTGCCTTATAAATTTAGAATTGTCACAATTCACCTCTTAAACAGAGTTCAAATAAATTTAAAAAAAAAAAGAGCCTTAAAGATCAAAATAAACAAGGTCCAAGTTAACACAAGTGGAGTATTGGTTTTAACTTATTACAGCTAATAACACTTTCACAGGATAGCATGACTGATCATTCACTCAAAATTCATGACACCTGTTTAGCAACATAACACATTAAGCATTTATCACAATTTACATGAATACCCCTATGATTTCAGTTAAAGGTGAAGTTATATTTTCCATATATTAATCCCCAATTTTTTTTCAAAATTAATCAGTATAACTACAAGCAAACAAAGAATATTTTATTTAAAACTATAACTAGTTAGGATGCGCAATCATATAAAATCAATTACCTGATAATATAAGACCACCAAATAACGATTACAAACATTAAATCCTGAAAGATGGTCACAAGCATTTTTAGCATCAAATATATCCTCATAAACCACAAAAGCAGTGCCTCTTGTTTCTGGAGTGTTTCCCCTAAGATATGAATAATAAAAAAGTAATATTATAAATATGCCTTGATTAAACTATTAAAAAATACATATAAACAATAAAAATAGAATGATTAATAAAACATAACATACACTCTGACTTGTCGAATAGCACCATACTTTCCAAATATATCATACATTTCTTCAGCAGTGATTTTATACGGAAGATTACGTATATAGAGGACTCGATTGACTTCAGGGGGCAGCCTCACCTTAAAAAAGTAATATATTCAAGTAAATTGGAATATACATAATATATACTTTAGAAAGAAATCTAAAACAAAATTTCAGAATATTTTGAAGGTAGATTAAAATATTAAGTGACCAATGATGTTTACTTTTAAACAATAAAATAAAAAATAATGTAATGTATTCATTGTAATTCAATATCAGTAAGATCAACTTTGTCTTCACTAATCAAAAAAGAAATATCGGAAATAAGACAAAGTAATGGCTTTACACAAAGTCCTCATGGAATAATGTAGCTATGCATGAATATGTTCAAATTAAACAGCACCTCTTTCCAATGAGAACAGAATTCAAATACCTCGGAGTAATAGTCACTGACCAGAACAAAATGCAGGACAGAATTACAGCTGGCAATAAGTGTTTTTTTGCCCTGGCAAAAATACTGAAATCTAAGGAACTGAGCTGGAATACAAAAGTAACAATTTATAAAACAATTATAAGGCCAGTCGTTACCTACGGGTGTGAAACGTGGGTTCTGACACAGGAAAGTAAGAGGTTGCTGATAATATGGGATAGAAAAGTCCTAAGAAAAATATATGGTCCAAAGAAAATAAATTATCAGTGGTGAATACGGAAAAATGACGAGCTCTATGAGCTGTTTAAAAATAATGATATTATAGCCACTGTCAAAAGGAACCGGCTCAGATGGCTAGGCCATGTAGAGAGAATGGAGGAGAATAGTTTGCCTAGAAAACTTCTCTATAACAGTCCAGGAGGAGCACGTCATAGGGGAAGACACCCGCTGCGGTGGATCAACGACGTGGAGGAGGACCTCAGCTACATGGGTATCAGAAGATAGAAAGAATAGCTGCCGATAGGGAAGCCGGGCGGAAACTTGTTTCTGACGCCCAAGTCCATTAAGGACTGTAGACCAAATTAATAATAATAATAATAATGTGATAACATTTATTTCTAAAGAGAAATAGGATTATCAAATAATACAGAGGATGATAAATAAGTTGATATTGGAAAAAAATATTCTATTAAAGCGAAGTATTTGTTTTATTATAAACAATTATCAGTTTAATGGCAAAATATACTAGTCCTGAATTATCTCACTTCTGCCAAGGAAATCAACATTCTTCCTGATCTATAATAATCATCATATCATATACTTTTATCAGAATATCAAATCCAATAACTTAAATGCAAATAACGAGTTCTTAATACCAGCCGCTGTAATGGAGAATTGATTCGGAACTAGTTCCACAAGCTTGATAAAGCATCACCTAAGATCAGCTCCTCATAAATAATATATTTATTTCAAAATTTATAATCATAAATAGAAAACACATAAAAATAGCTAGTCAATAATATCTTTAGGCCACAGTTAAAGAGAACAGCATTCAATTAAAACAGAGTTACAAGTTCTAAAAGTCAACATTGCTCTTAAGTAATTCAATGAAAAAACAAAACAACTAACAACAAAATAAACACAAAACAACAATGAACATGAATTACAAAAATGACAATCAGTGGATTTACTTTTAATCTTCCAACAGCTATTTCCTATAAAATGTTTATACCAACATCATAACACGTTACTTTTATCAACATTAATTGCTTTTCTTCATTTATACTATTGAAATACAAAATGAAATTATAATACAACTGTATGCTCCTTTATTACATCAAAAGGCGCGTAAACTTCAAGAAAATACAATCCTAATTAAGTTTACTTCATCACACAATATGTAAACATGAATAAAATCCAATATAAGCATAGTTTTTAATTAATTAGTATGTTATATTATTAGTAATATTTCACTTACATTAGCTCTTCTTTGCATCAATGCCATTTTCCAATAATTTTAAAAACACGACTTACGACCAAACAATAAATTGTACCAGCATCAACAAAGTACTAACTCTAACCTGCAGAAACAATCAAAGACAAAGAGCTATAAAGAAATATCGTTCTAGGCACCACAACTCGTGAACTCAAGTTTGTCAACTTTTGTCGGAATATTATTTATTTGTTGTTATTGAGGAATCAAATTAATTTTTACTTGAGTTTTATTGTTATGTATTGAATTAAACAGGGAATATGGTTTCTTAACAAATTTGCCAAAATAGTAAAAAGAATTTTTTTTTAACATTCTCCTTCAAAAAAGTTTGGTAAATTAGTAGCCAGAATAACTAATTTATCAGAAAAAATATAATCCATAAGACATAGCAACCATTGTAGTTGAAAATGAAATGTGAGTGATTTATTAATAAAATTCATCAATTATTTCCCCTTAATAACCAATCCCATCCCCCAATAGTTTTTAAATAACCAAATTATAATTATAAATAAAGGATTAAAAACATTTCACCTAGATTGCCTCAGGAAAAAATTGGGCATTAACCGAAAGAAATTATAGATTATCATCCCTTAATTTTCATATCAATCTATTATTATTATTTTTATCGGTAAAGTTTCATTATATTCTAATAGTGAGTATTTTTAAAGATAGGTTACAATCTTAAAATATTTGTAAAATTTGTGTATGATGAATTTAAGGGTAACAATATTTCCAGAACTGCGATGGGTGATCCGGTTTTAAGGCTTCTACACACAGAATGCGACACGATATTCCTGTCGGCAGTGATATGGCGATATAGTTGCTATTGCATTGGTATGACTTTTAAAATATAGCAGTCACGCAGAGAGCGATAATCTGCAGTGATATAAACAAAGGATATCGTATCGCCAAGACAAATCGCGTTCTGAGAGCATGGGCCTTTAGTCATAAGAGAGGACCACCATTCAGCTAATGAAAATCAAACTTTATTCAGTCTGAATTTACAAAGAAAACGTTTATTTAACTGAAATCAATGCTTGTTGGTCTTTTTTTAGATTTGCGTTAGATCGTAAAGGTGGTTCAAGGGGCAGTGTGGTGAAATAACATACCAAGCTATAGCATTTGACTTGTACAAAAAATTAAAATACTAAACAAATTGTATACTCTAGATAAAACCAAACTTTAATATTTTCGTCATTATATTAAAAATCGCAGTTTCTACAAATCCCTTGTAAAAGTCACATAGGTAGGAGATTTGGAGAAAGGAAGAGAGATATTCAAAAGCATTACGAATTAGATGGAGACAAATATGGACACCTTAATATTAAAGACAATGCTCTTGAACGATAATTTTGAAATCATTTAATTAATGGAAATACAATTTTAGTAGACAGGAGCTACTTGGCATATTGTAAACGAAGTGATGAGCTAGAAGAAAGTGAAGTAGTGATTTTCTAAGGGCAGATTAATAAAAACCATCTTATTGATGTTATCGGTTCATGTTAGCGACTTTCTGATTGAATGTTCAGATGCATACCAACACTTCTTTACCAAAGTCCCGACTTTAGCTCTTTGCATTTACAAATTGATACATCGTTAGTGATCGCTATATTATAATGCACGGTATTTAAGTGCCGGTTTGTCATTCCCAGTTGTGTTTGCTTACATTGTCGTTACATTGTCAACCACAACATGAAGCGTAAAGGAAATGAATTAGTCGCTTATGACAATGAAAGAGCTATTAAACGTCTTCATGAAGATGTAATTGTAACGTATATAGTTTATAATAAATCTAATCTATTTATAGTGTGTGATATGAATATATTTTGTTTTGTTTTAGGGTGTTAAAAGAACATCCAGTTTATTAGCCCCAATAATGGTTCTAGAAGGACATCAAGGAGATATTTTTGGTTTGAAGTTTCATCCTGATGGAAAATATCTGGCTTCCACAGGATTTGATAGACAGATATGTAAGTAACCATTGCATTGGTATCTTATATTTTGTGTGTAGTTTATACTTATTTACTATTGAAATTAATACATATTCTACTTATATATAATATACATTTTAGCATTGGTGATTTACAGGAGACAAATTGTTTATGTGTATAAATATTTTGTGGCACGCTAGTTTTGTTTTTCGTTCTGAAATTTGTCTTACTACACATAGCCCGAAGTTATAATAATGACAAAAGAATCATTTGTTTTGATAGATTTAATTTTTTTTCATATATTCATGAGGTAGCAAACATCTAATGTGTCTTTGACTTAAATCTCAGACGGGATATTATCAAGCATGGTTGCCAGACATTGGAAACGGTCTATACTTTCATGTTTAAATAAGTTTAAGTCTCCATGCCTGATAGACTGATAGGTCAATATTATATTGATTCCTGTACATAGGAAGCTGAAAGTACTAGGAGGTGATTAATTGTAATATTTTGGTTAGACACTGACCTCAACTAATAATGACCTTTTGGGGATTTGTCCATTGCTTGATAAAGCTTAGTGCTATTGAGCTCAACTATTGATTTTGTAGTCAATATCTTTATTTTGGATATTCTATCCACAGTATGATAGATATGATATTTACTCATCAGTCAACTAGTATAAGTACTTGTGAACTAGCATCAATGATATTTTATACTATGGTAGAAAATATATTTTAAAATTAACATTTTTTTTATGATGAAATTTCAAACGAAATCCTGTTTTGACAGAATTGATATTTCATATAATTGATATTGCAGGGGCTAACCATTAAGTGTCTTATTATCTTAGGCAACCTCTACTTTCAAGTAAATAAGTGAAATCAGAAACTACTGTCATGAAAATAATTATTAGTATTGTCTTCTATATCAATATTTTAATTATTCATTTTTTATAGTTATCTGGAATGTTTATGGAGAATGTGAGCATATTTCTACAATGATGGGACATTCTGGAGCTGTCATGGAAATACAGTTTTCTACTGATGGAAACACCCTTTTCACGTGTAGCACTGATAATACAGTCGCAATGTGGGACTTAATTGCTGGGCAAAGGATTAAAAAATTGAAAGGTAATAATATGTGACTTTTAGAGTAATAAGTGATTGATTTTAATTTCATTGATGTAACTTTTGTGTAATTTATTTGAAATAAGTCAATACTTTAATTTGAGTAATTTTAGATATTCGTCTTTAAATGGTTAATATGATAGTTTGAAGGAAGAATTTTCACAATCATTTGTGTTTCATATTTTATATATCAAAGTTTTATAATGGAAATTATTAATTTTAGTGATAGTACTGCATTCTGCTCTATTATTAACTCTGCCATGTTATTTTACCTTTGGATATCTGTTGTTACTGTTTCAGTATTGTAAATTGAAAACATACAAGAATTGCATTTTAAATAGAACTATTAAACCAATTATTACTGTTGATTGACTGAGTTTACAACCTTATATCCACAATTTAACACATTCATATACTTTAGTGGTGTAGTTAGTTCATTCAGTTGCTATTAATAGTTTTATTCTAATATTAGGTCATTCAGGATTTGTCAATTCATGTCATCCAACTAGAAGAGGAACACAACTAATAGTAAGTGGATCAGATGATTGTTCAATTAAAGTATGGGACCCAAGGAAAAAGGGCAAAGCTACGACACTTGTCAATCCTTATCAAGTTCTCACAGTTTCCTTTAATGACACTGCTGAACAAGTATTTTCTTCTGGAATTGACAATGAAATAAAGGTAAATTTTATGTAATTAATTAATATTTAGTTACTTTTCTAGTTCTATATTTTTCAAGGGCACTTTTATGTAATTGTGTATGATGTTTTCAAGGAATGGATTACCATTTATTTATTTCATTTCCATGTTTCGAACTAATTGGCTCATTTTCAAACTATCAAAAGTTTATTACATACCTAACAACTTTCCATATTACACAATTCTATTGCCTCTTAGTTTCAGTCCAATAATAATAAAACTAATCTTGTGCTTAACATTTTATTTGCATTTAATAATATGTATATCAGTTCATAAATCCAATGCAAGGTAGTCTCTCCTCATCTATTACTTAAAATGGTCCATAGACAACAATATAGAATATCTCCTAAACAAAGCGTTTGCAGACATACTTTCAGAGGATTTTTTTTTTTTTCTTGTATTGAGGTCCTTAGTTCATTTTTGCATTGCCTGCCATTGATAGGTCAAAAGTTGTCACACTAATTGTAAGTGGATAATATTGGGATTTCACAAAGAGATAATTTATCAAATTATTGACTAATTTAATTTTCTATAAGATTACATGACGGTTTTTCGGAATATATGGAGGTTGAGACCTAATTATTTAAATATAATATCAGATCTAGAATTATTAAATTACAGTAAATGTATTTAACATATGCTTTATACATCCATGGAATAGTTTTTTTTTAACAATACCATTGCCTTGATTAGATGGATTTTAAATACTTTTTCAAACTTAAAAAGAAAAATTTAAAAGTTTACATTTAGTTAGTAAATTTCTTTTAATTTCCTGGGAAACATGTGATTTCTATTAAATAATATTAGTTTTCACAAATTATTATTTATAATCTTTATTCACTTTCCATTACCTTCTAGGACTTTCTATATTAGATATTGTTTTGTTTTTTTGTCACTTTCCATTACCTTCTACGACTTACTATATTGTTTTTTCTAAAATTCTACGCATTCCAACGATATATTATACGTATACCTTTTGACTATTATTTCCAGAGATTCATTTTCGATCTAAATAAACAATTTCCCTTTTTAATTATCAAATTCTTTCAAATGTTATATTTAGCATTTTTTCGGAACTTCTAATATCGAGAGGTAGTTAGTTATTAAATAAACGAAATTAAAGGTATTTTAGAAGAAGGAATGTTGAACATTGAGCATTTAAGCCCTATAATGTGACATCAATGGTGATGAGACCTAAGTGATATTAAAGATCACTTAATTATACAATGATACACCGAGTTTAATCAAAATTGCTAGAGCTGTTTTTGAGAAAACTGTAAAAAATGTTTAAAAGCCAATTTCAAGGGAAAAGTTTTTGTAACATCCCTGTCATTTACCTATCTTAAATATGTAATATCAATTTTGTACGACTTTTAGTTTTTGAGCTAGACTGTTTGCATACATACGCACACACAGAACATTGTACGGGACTTGGTTGTTTGGACTTAGGGGACCTCAAAACGTGTATTTCTATTGAAAACTATAATTTTTATATTATTTTATATTATAATTTTTATATAATTATAAAATGTTCACAATCGCAGTGCTTTCCTGCTTACTGTACAGTAAGTGAAAGTAAAAAAATCTGTTTTTGTCCATTACTGTCTGCCATGATTATCTCTTAAATTTGGTGTACCATTTGTTGGTACTACTTTTTATTCGTAAGGTTCAGGCCTTTGATCTCTGTGTACCAATCAGGTGTCCTGTGTACAATAACTAAAAAACAAGTTTTTCTACCAATTATTGTGCCCAAATGACTTATGATTTTTATGAAACTTGCCTAAAGTCTTCTTAAAACTCTTTATACCACATTTGCAATACAAACCAGAAAGAAAAGTTATGACTGAAAGTAACTAAAAAATTGCATATTTAATAGTTGACCGTTGCATTATAAAAGGAAGGAGATGGTCCGGGGTGACGGTCATAAATAGACTAAATAGTGGTAAAACTATTTTATTAAAAGCCAATGTTTCGACCCGACTTTGCAGGTCTTCTTCAGGGAGATGTGTTCAGCTAGGAATTTCACTTAAAACAGCTATAACTTAGAACCCAGTTCTAAGTGAAACTTCAATTCCTTAACTAAAAGACCATTTCCTTAACTAAAAAATGTACATTTTATAGTAAATTATATCGTATGTTAATTGAAAAAACTCTCTATGTGCATTTTTGTGAATATTTCAGTATTTCAATCTTATTTAAGTATAAAAAAATCATGCTACAAAATAACAGAACCCCTATTATATATCAAATATAGGTACAATAAGTGCACAATGTTTTGATTTTGTGGAGGGAAGAATTTATTAAAGTACTTAGTTATTTAATTTTCAAAAATTTCACTTAATGACCTTTTGCAATAAATCACCGATTATATCATCACTTGAAAGATAATTTAATGCTCTACGAAAAAAAAAAAAAAAAAATTAGACTAGTATTATTAAACTACAGTATGTTGGACTTTTTGCAGATGTTTATCTTTAAAGTATTCATAGGTTCCCCATGGAAACCTCATGAGTTCTTATTAGTTTTCAATTAAATTGAAATAACTCTAAGAACATTCCAGTTGCCCATTTGTATTATTAAATTAAATTTTGTATGTTATGCTTTACACCCAAATGGGTGAGAAATGTCATGTGAGTGGACATGCCAGATATTTTGTTTATTTATAAAATTTAATTATATCTATAATTTGTTGAAGGTTTGGGACTTGAGGTCTAACAATACCGTCATCAAATTAAGAGGCCATACTGATACAGTTACGGGGTTGTCTCTTTCTTCCGATGGATCTTACCTTCTAAGTAACTCAATGGACAACACATTACGCATATGGGATGTTCGCCCGTATGCACCTCCCGAGAGATGTGTAAAAATATTATCTGGTCATCAACATAATTTTGAAAAGGTTAGTTATAATATAATTTTTAAATCCTTTTGTGTTTACTAATCTGTGTTACTTTGTGTTATGCTAATCTTCATAAATGTAGAATAATGATGGGAATTTAGAAACTTAAAATATATGGTAGATTCCTAGAATAAATTTTGTATGTAATGTAATTTCAGTTATTATGGATTAGAAGAATGGATGTAACATAATCTTTTTAATTGATCCAAATATGCCATTTTCCTTTCTTTTTTTTAATATATATAAACATTAATTGATGTTTCTATTCATTTACAGAACTTGCTAAGGTGCTCATGGTCAGCAGATGGATCTAAAGTTTCAGCTGGATCTGGAGACAGGTTTGTTTATGTTTGGGATACAACAACAAGGAGGATATTATATAAACTCCCTGGACACAATGGCAGTGTCAATGAAGTTCAGTTTCATCCTACAGAACCGATTGGTTAGTACATTTCTATCATCAAGTGTTATTTATTATTGTTCTTTTATCACAAATTTTCATATTTATACACATATAATTTGATATTCGGTAAGTATAATCCATCATTGGGAGCAGAGTAACTCAGAGGAATAGGCTTTGGGCTCCTTAGCTCAAGGTTCCAGCTGATATTAATAATTAATTTAGGGGGAAAATCTGGCAATTTAGCATGATCCTGGTCTGATCACCTCTCTGCACAACCATTGGAGTTGATACAGTACGCACTAACAAAGTACTGAACCCAAAAGCCCTCATGTGTTCTAGTGATGCAGGTGGTTTTTATTTTATTTGAATGTAATAGATCAATTTACTGATTCAAGAATGATATATAAAGATAATTATCATAAGATAAATAAATAATTTAGCATCAAGATCCTATTGGTTTACTTCTTTTGCTATTCTTCATTTTGTTCAAATGAAATGAGACGCATAAATGCTGAGCTAATGGAAATTTTCTGAAGAACAATTTAATATTAAAGACAAGATTTTGTAATTGAAACCTACTACATCATGCATACATATTGGACAAAACAATATTAACCAGGGTCCAACTTATATTTCAAATATATATTTAGAATAAGTAAACTAAACTCTTAAAATATATCTCTAATTTTTATTTTTTATTTTTTCAGTTGGTTCTGCATCATGTGATAAAACTGTTTATTTGGGCGAATTGGAAGAATGAAAACAAGAGTATTTAATTTTATGTTTGTAATATTTATAAGCGCATGCGTTTTAGTATGCGAAATTTAATTATAAATAAATTTTAATAAAATCAAATATTTGAAATACAGATTTTTTTTATTTAATCAGTTGTACCAATCCTAAACCTAATCCATTAACTACATTAAACTTTTGAAGGAGAAAACTAATTTTTGGTCTAGAGCTTTATTCCCTTCCACATGTATTAATTTTATTATACAGTAGCCATTATGATTAATATTTACTGTAATAAATTAAATTATGAAAAACAGGATATAACTTCATTTTCTTGTCATATTTTTTAGCTTTGTTGCCATTTTTTATGTTTTTTTTTAAAAAGTATTTATCAAGCCAAACCTGTTTTCTTGATATTAAGCTTTGTATTGATACTTTGTTTGGTTTTAAAGTATATTTTGAATTCTTCTTAAGGATTAAATAATTAGAAACTAAAGCTAATATATAATATATAATGCGCTCTTCAATATTATGTACAAACACAAGCTATTTTTAATATTTGGGAATTAATTATGTTATAGCATTAAATTTATAGACAAAGAAATTTTTATTTTCATATTATAAACTTTGCTCATTTTGTTATGGTTATTGTTAGATTTCTTTGAAGTGTTACCAGTATCTTTTAAGTATTCAATCTTGTGATGCATGAAACATTACAAAATATCGTGTCTGCTGGAAGTCTAGCATCTCGCTTATGTCAAATACTTGGGTGCGCAGATGACATGGTGGTTCTGGCAAGAAGTGAGAAGGCATTGGATGAAATTCTGGCAATGATTGTGCAAGAAAGAAAAGTCGTGGGCCTTGAGATAAACAAATCTAAAACCAAATACATGGTAGCATCAAGCTCTGAGGCAAGAAGAAGAAAGCAGGATTTTCGATATGATGGCTGTACATTCAAAACTGTTGATCACTTCCTGTACCTTGGCACTGAAATAAACAATGTGGTTAGGGTGAGTGACGAGGTTATGAGAAGAATAATGTGCAGCAACAAAGCTTATTACGGTCTCTCTAGATTGATTGAATCTGCCCTAATATCAAAACGCACAAAGCTCAAATTATATAAGACCCTTATCAGGCCCGGTGTGTGCTATGGAGTGGATACATAACGTTTAAGATAGCAGACCAGCAAGCCCTTTTAATATTTGAAAGGAAAATTATGAGACGTATTTTTGGTCCAATAAATGAACAAGGCACATGGCGCATTAGGTATAACCAAGAAATGGATGACCTGATACAGCATCAAGGTATTTTAAGGTTCATTAAAGCTAGAAAATTTAGTTGACTGGGTCATACCGAGCGAATGTCAGATAAAATAATGGCCAAAAATGTTCTCCATGACGTAGAAGAGGACCTTAATAAAATTAGAGTGACCAACTGGAAGAGACGGGCCATGGACAGAGAAGGATGGCGAAACATTGTTGGGGAGGCCAAAGTTCACATTGGACTGTAGATCCGGAGAAGAAGTATCTTAAAGTCATTGTGTAGAACCAGAGTCAAAGTGTTGTCCAGTCATTTTCCCATTACTACAAAGGGGGATTTCAGTTTTTCTTATATGCCTCTACGATGTAGGTGTTTCAGGAGGGAGTTTTGGTTCCTAAATAAACGAAAGTATGAACCTGACTGAAAACTTTCAAATTCTGAGGGATAACGTTCAAAACTTCTTTCCCACTGCCTTCTTAGCACGCTTTTTCTGAGTCTAACTCCTTTATGCCATCAAACATGCAGCTGCAGTTTCAGTCCATCTAGCCCACTGGTTCCTGTCCCTGGCCAGTCTTCTCATCTCCAGATGTGTCCACTTGCTGCCCCATTTTTCAATTTCATCCGAGTACTTTCATCTGTCTTGGGACTGTGTCAAAAGCCCCCTTCAGATCCAGATATGCCAAGTAGACCCAACCTCCTACAAACAATTCTTTCATTAATTTTGTGAACTAAATCTATTAGTCATAATCATGCAATCCCTAAATAAATAGTTAGGGTAGTTAAAGTAAGCTTTGTCTCAAATAATAAATAGAGCACCACTCATTGAAGATAGATTTAGGTAGTTGTTATTATATTTTTTGTATTTTAATAGTCCCTGTATCGAACTTTATTTAAATACAACGTGTATGCTCTGCAAAAAATAGATTAGTATCTATCCATGTGTCTCTTATTATTAAACTAAGCTGTCCACAAAAATCTAGCTTAAATATTAATATTTCAAACTTTTACACGCCGGACTCACGAACACAATGAATGAGCCCAGGAATGGTAGCAGGGGTGCCCAGAAGGGGGTTTCATGCTGCAAATTTCGATGGGTTTATGAATTTTCGGACTAAGGGACAAGGGAAAAACATGAAACAGACGGCAGTAATCAAATGTCTTAAGAGGAGGGGGAGTAGATTAGATTCTACACCATCGACCTTGGGGGTCAATGGTCAATCAAATTATTAACGTCCGCCTGAAACTTTGTAAATAGTTTGATTTCATCGTAACTTACAACTATTTTATTTGCGAAAACTCTTGAAATCAGGGCGTTTTAAATCTGGAGGTCGGCAGACTTCCAAGACCAAACTTTGTCTATTTAATTAGATACTATGGACTCATAAATGTCCATTAGCTTTCCACTTGAATAGTAAGATAATTACTTATTTAGTCGATCCTCATCTGTGAGGCTTCTGTCTGTAGAGCTTGATCCACATTTCTCTTTCCTTTGCCAATTGCTTTTTTCTCGACCAATCCAATCCTCTCCGGTCACAGACCTCCTTTATTCCACCTTCCTAGGTCGCCCTCTAGGTCTTCAACATCCGAGAGATGTGTTCGAACTATCTTAGCTGGTGTTCTATTGTTTCCTTTGCATCCTGCAGATCCAGGTTGGATCGAAAAGTTGTATTCCTCACTTGGTCTCTTCCTGTCTTACCTTCGACCCTACGATGGTAGCGCATCTCCATCGTTTGTAGTTGGCTCTTATGTTTTCTTGCTAGAACCCAAGATTCGCTTGAGTAGGTAAGAATTTGGAGAAATATATTTTTGAAGACTGTTACTTTTGTTGTTTTGGGAACCTATTTTCTTCCCAAAAAGCCTTTTCTAACATCATTAAAACATCTTACGGCTGCCTTAATTCTCTCTCTTATATCTCCGTCCACCCAGCCATTCTCATTCAAGTGAGTTCCCATGCATTTGAAGCCGCTTATTTGTATCGGTTCCCATCCAGTCTAATGACTCGGTCTCCCTAGTTGGTCCGTCTTCCGCCACGTAGGATTTTTGTCTTTATTAAATTCATTTCCGTGTTTACTTTTCTTAGCCGACATCTTAGGATACGTAGGTTAAACTGGAGGTTCTTTCCATTGTTGCCAAAGAATACCAGATCATCTGCATAGACCAGCTTAGTGAGCTGGGTAGGAAGCATTCTCCTATAACCATAATGCAAGGGTCTCATTTCTTGTTGGACTTCTCTCAGGGCCCTTTCTAATACCACTATAAAAAGGAGCAGGCCAAGACTGCAACCTTGCCTGATTCTTCTAATGGTTTGAAACTCTTTGGATGCCATGTTGCATGTCCTAACCACATTTCTCTTGTTTTTATAAAGGCTTCTAATGGCCTCCCTTAATCCCAAATCCATCCCCTTCTCCTATAACGCTTCTTCTATGACGCGACTCCTAATATCATTTCACTTCTTCAATATTTGCCTCAGGGTAAATATCAAGTCTTGTGTACTTTTATTGTATACCATACTGTTCCTCCATTAACAAGGACTAGACAGTAACTCTTAGCCTCTTTTCAAGGATGCTGGTATATACTTTTGACGGCACGCTCAGGAGAGGACATCCTTTGCGGTTTTGGCACTCCCTGTTGTCTCCTGTTTTGAAAATTGGGATATTTTTCCAAGCGACTTCTCTATCTTTGGGTACTGCTTCTTTTCTTCCATACTAAATTTATCAGATACTGGAAGATTTCTCTACTTTTGGAACCTTATTCTTCAGCATCTCAGAAGAGATTTCGCCAACTCCTGCTGACTTGCCTGCTTTCAGTGTTTTTAGTGCATCAACAACTTCTTCCTCATCTTTCAATTGGCTCGGGCCGAGACTAAGTAGTTTCTAGGCAGATTCTTAAACCGCTATTATTTCTCTGTCAACATTTGTGGTGTGTCTGCCTTTGAGAACATAACTGTAGACCAGGCTTTAATCACATTTACCTCAGCCTATTGTAAGGCAATCGATTGGAGCTGGCCAATAAATGAGCACACGAATTCAGGGCTCAGGGAAAATATTTTGTTCATTTTTTTCGAGCACCATGATCCTCAATAAGGCAGCTGTTATCGATCGCAGGTTCTAATACTATTCTTATATCAGAGAGGATTTGCATATTATATTATATTATAATAATATAGCATATTCCATTTCGGCCACATAAGAAGTGAACATGAATTTCGTCTGGATAGACGTTTTTAAAAGAACATGTTAACTTTTTTACTTAATCTTCTATGGCAAGCTTAATTCTGTATTCAGCCGAAATGTTTTTCTTTCTTCTTAAAAATTTAATAAAGCATAAATTTTATCCGTTTTAAGAGAATAATATTGCAATAATTAATTACAAGCAAATAAAAATTATCCTATATTAAATCGATATTATAACAACGTGAATAATCAGGGTACCTTTGAAAACAGATAGCCATTTTCTTGGTGTGATCCCGTTTGTGGACGTCGCACGTGTTGTCGATATGGTAAGTATCGGAATGTTAGTTTAATAAATTATTTTGACCAATATTTTAATCATGATATTATGTATTAGTTTATAACTTTTATTAAACTTCTAGTGAATTTTTGATCAATATCCCAAACTTTTAAATAACTTTATTGGCCATTTAAATCTGTCGAGCGTGTTCACATTAAAACCTTTAATTTTCATTATTGTTTTTATTCAACAATTTTTTTTCGATTACATATATTTTATTATATATGTTAATAAATAACTTATGTCTATTCTTATTTTGACTTAGTTTCTTATTTTTGATATAAGTTTCATATTAGTTGCTGTTATTTATTTATCTAATCATTTTTAATTTTTATTTCTCTACTTATCTTTCTAAATGGTTTATATTTTTTTTTCACTAGTCCACCCACAAGAAGAAGACAAGGAAGCTAAGAGGTCATGTCAGTCATGGACATGGTAGAGTAGGTATGTATTGTTTAAGATATTGAAAATATTTTCTATTGTTTTCCTTTTAGTGTATCATACTTAATATAAGAAATTTCCGTTTATACTATTTAATTTTTTAGGTAAACATAGGAAGCACCCTGGTGGTCGTGGTAATGCTGGTGGTCTGCACCATCATCGTATCAACTTCGACAAGTACCATCCTGGGTATTTTGGAAAGGTTATTATTTAAGTTTCTTTTTTACTTACTGGTTATATCATTATTCCTTTAAATTGTCTAGTTAATTTTTTGTTTTAAATTTGTCGTTCTTTATTTTATATAATTCTCCACTAGATTAAATCGGTGAATTGAATGAAATTCGATATTATATTAAGGTTTAGTAATATTTGTTATATGAAGTAAAAAATACCTGTTTGCTTCTATGAAGGTCCGGTACAATACTTAAAATTTATGGATTTTGTTTATGTATTTACTTTTTTTAAATCTCAAATTTATTTATTAATGCAGGTTTTAAGTCAGTTGGTATTACAGTGGACTCTCACTCAATCCCAACTAATTAATACCAAAGATGTTTCGATTAGCGAAAAGTTGAAATACTGAACGTTACTTTCTTAAAACTCAGTTAATTGTTTTGTAATTGCGTAAACTACCATTTATAATTAGTACAACTTATGCTAGAAACTAAAAGCACAACTTTTGCTGTAGAGATTAATTCAATGAAAAGTTTAATTGTACCTGCCGAAAAATAAATTGACAAAATAAACACATTAACAAATTTTAGTATGTACATAGCTTGGATTTTACTTAAAAGGAGTTAGTATTACTAACTAGATAATGCAAGCCTCAGCATTTTAGGTTTTGATAATAGAGTTTTGTTAAAATCATACATCATACATAAAATCAAATTTTTTTTTCTTGATTAAGTGATACACGTTATTGATTGAGCTGGATTAGCTATAGTCTACTTAACATCAATTTTTTTTCTTGATTAAGTGATCCGCGTTATTGAATAAGCTGGATTAGCTATAGTCTACTGTACTTCTCAAGTTTTATTTCAACATGAAGGTACCATATCATGTGATCTATTTGTTTATTGATTGTCAAAGATAGCCGAGTATGTGTCTGTTTATACATTTTCTATACCAACAACTATTAAATTCTTTGTAATTAACAGTACTTTTAATATCCATTTTTTAGAATTTCTAAATTTGTGAATAGAACTCACTAAACGCCTTTTTTTTCTGTTACTACTGTACAAATGACACTTTAAATCTTATCCAGTGGACCAGGATCCGTTGGCGTTATAAATGGTTTCTGATAATAGCAGAAGGATGACCTGTTCATAGTATCACTTCCCTTTATTTAGATTTATGCAAATTCCCAACCAGTTCTTTTTAGTTTATAATCAAGACTTAATTAACTTTAATAAACTTGCCGCTTTACTATCGTCCCTTTTCAGTGGAGGTTGGGGTCTTACCAGAGTGTTCAGTCACTTTTTTCACTTTCAAACACACTTGGCCATGCTCAGGATTCAATGTATGGTGTGATTATGAGATATTATGCCACTAAGTAAAGTAAATTGATATTAGTACAATTATACCGCTTTTCTTATTGAAATTTATAACTTAATCAAAGAATTTATAAAAAAAAATTTTGTGACAAACTAGAAAATGTAAGTAAATGATTATGCTGTTATATAGGAATTAGATATGAGTGTTGGCTTAATATCATATTTGACATTAAGTATTCCAAGGCCATTGCACACAATGCTCATGTGAATTGTAGTTTCTTTTTTAAAATCAATAACATATAGAAAAGCTTTAAAATATGTGAATTTAAAATACTGTAGCACACTGCGCCCATTACAGTATAGTGATTATGTATGTAGTTAATGTATTAATTGGTTTTGATTAAAGCAACTTAATTTTTAATTTTATATATTTATTTTGGAACTCAGTTTATTCTAAGTGAAAGTAAATATTGCTATAACATCTTTCTCCCTTGTTTTTCAGTTGGGTATGAGGAATTATCACCTTAGACGTAATCAGAAGTTCTGTCCATCTTTAAATTTAGATAAACTATGGACTCTAGTTACTGAGCAAACCAGGCTGAAGTACAAAGACCACCCTGAAGGCAAAGCACCAGTTATTGATTGCATTAGGGCGGTGAGTTTCTGTACCATATTTTCATCTATCTAAGAAAAGATTGAATAAATGTGTTGTTAATTAAGTTAATAACTACTTTATTTTTTTTTATATGATACTAGGTCTTACTATCAATTTATTAAAGTGTAAAGTAGATTCTAGTTTTTAATTATGGAAATGGATCTTTCAACCCATTATTTCTAAAAACTTGCTTTCTCCTCACCATTCTCTCCATTTTGTATTAAGTCATCTTTTAATTTTGTTATTTTATATAATTGAAGTTCAATCTATATCCCATTTTGATGCTTATTATTTAACCAACCTACATGATGATAAGAAAAATCCATATGATTTTTTTAAAAATAAAACTGAAGTGACTGTTAAAGTTTATAGCTGCTTGAGTTAATTCAAATAATTAAAATGTGACTGTACTTAAAAAGATATGGAAAACCACTGAAACATCACAAAGGAAATGAATGATAGAAGTATGTAAGTGTGCTATTGGAAAATATAAAATTAATACTTAAAATTACAAGCCTCCCATATAAATAAGGAAGATACATTTAAATATTTGATAAATACTCAATATTTATTAAATTAGTATATTAAGTAGTTATTCCTTATTCACTTTGTATTTATTGCATCTGTACTTCTGGTTTTTTTTTAATAAGTATTATCTTCAGGTGAATAATTCGAATGTTATTGCAGGGTTATTACAAGGTCCTTGGTAGGGGAAAACTGCCCCAGCAACCTGTCATTGTACGAGCCAAGTTCTTCTCGAAGTATGCTGAAAGGAAGATCAAAGCCGTCGGTGGAGCTTGTATTTTATCTGCTTAAGATGAAACTTTCCAAATAAATTTTTTATGTTATTTAAGTTCATTTCATTTATCCTCAAGTATTCCTTTAAAAAAAAAAAAAAAAGCAACATTTTTTTTATGTCAGCTATGATAGTTTTCATTCTTAATTATTACTAAGAATGTTTCCTTCCTTGATAAATTATTTATTAAATACATGAATCAAAATATCTGACCCAAGCGAACAGAGGTATTTTATATTAAATCTGGTTTATTTAAATTGACTATCTAAATAACCAGACTTATGGCTTAGCTTAAGTACCTGCTAATCAGTGTGAGATGAATCCAGCAAGTTGTAATATGGAATACATTTACTCAACTGTTTTATGTTTTTCCCCCAGCATTATTTTATGGAGTAAATGACAGTTCTTCTCAATTTTATATTATATAAATTATTTTCCATCCCTAATACTAGCTAAATCCTTTTGATTTTATGAATTCTGCATCTTTTTTTTAACAACCCATTGTAATTAATATTAATTAAATGTTCTATTTTTTAAAATGGAAATGCAGTGATCTGTTTGTTACATAGTACCAAATTTTCTAAGAAAACTAATTAAATGTGCTGATGGCTAGGATTTCAATTATGAAAAATAATTAAGAAAAGAACTGCAAATAGGTCAATGGAATAAATTGTAAGTGTACATTTGACCTTAAGATGTCTTCATTTAGTTTTCTAATTTGAACTATTGGAAAACAGTTTCTATTGCAATGGAGGAAATTAACTGGTTTTAAAATAATTTATGCCAAAAATTTTATAGATAGGGTTTCCATGTTACCTGACATTCTATTCACTCCTAAGAACCTCAAACCAGTTCATCCATTTCAAATTCTGTAGAATTTCGCATTGAAATTTGATATAACATGTTTCGTTGTTTTTGCTCAAATTAATCAATTTTTATATTTCCTGAAAATTCATTTTCAATGTTATATATTTTTTTTCTTACATATTATTTTAATTGAGAAGCTTAACACAAGTCTTGATGTATTAATTTAATAAATTAAACAAAATAGATAATTTTTATGTTTATTAAAATTTTAATTTTTACTGAACAATTTTCTGCATTTTGTTCACGAAATCTGGTCTCTAGTTATTATGGATGACATTTTAACTGCTAAAGGCTGCTTTAATGTTTTTATTTTCACACTGAATAGATCCTGTTTAATTTTTATGAATATAACATGGAATATTTACAGTTTTCTTATAGATCATTCAGTACTGTGATTCACGATATTTAAAATCTTAATTATTGTACCAATTAGGTAAACTTATTACAGAATGATCAACCAGACTATAAAAATTTATTCATGAACCAATTAATTTTATTAACTGGCTTTATGATAAACAAAAGTTAGTTACATATTTCACCAGTAAATTGTATACTAATGTTTAAAGTTATTTTTTTATTCACTGCCTCCTAATATTTTAGGAGAAGTTATAATATCTATGTGGGAGTGGGGTACCACTGAGCTTCCAATCCAAAGGTCCCAGGTTCGAACCCCGGCTCATGCCAGAAAATTTATTTATCTGTTTCATTGGCCGTGGGGCGACCCTGGGTCAGGAGACCCTCCTGGGGGCACACCCAGTCTATAAAGTGGGTACCCTTAATTAAATAATTGATTGAGGGGGAAAACCTGGCAGTTGAGCGTGATCTCGGTCAAATCACCTCCTTGCACAACCGTTGACCTAGAAACAGTGCTTTCCCTAAATAGTACTGAACCCCAGCCAGACCCTTCATGGGTTGTAATATATGTATATATGATCATGTCCTATTGTAACCATTTTGATGATCTGGAATTTTTACTGGAAAAGTATGGCAATTTAAGGTACCTTGATCTTTAAAAAATATGCCATGTATATTCCATATATAATTGAATTTTCAATCTTATCAAGGCCCACTTTATCATTGCATCCAGAACAAGAAGTACCTTCTAATACATCAGATTACCTTAATAAATTAAATTAGCTTTTGCTAAGTTATTGGACAATTGTGTTGAATAATGTCTCCTATTTTGATAGAGGAGCCAATCATTCTCGGGTTAAGAAGAAATTAAACAAGGTTAATTAAAATTAAAATCTTTATTAAATTTTTATTTATTAAATATTTTAATTAAAAATTAAAATTAAAAGATCAGTCCCAAACTTATAGGAACCAATGATTACTAAAAATTATGGATACGCTTCAAGTATTACTAATATGATTTCACAGAATGGTAGGAGTGAAACTCAGTTTAGTGAATTCACCTTTTTTGAGTAGAGGACAAATTTATAGCCAATTCTTCAGCATGTCTTCTTCTTAGACAATTCAATTAATAAATATATTTTCAGTGAGAGAAAACATATTACTTTCGTTTACCTATAAATGTAATATATAGTAAGGGAAAGTATTGCGATCATGAAAATTTTGGAATCTTAGTTTCCAATGGAAATACATGTTTTGAGGTCCCGAGTCGAAATAATCAAGTCCCGCAAAATGCTCTGTGTGTGAACAACCTGAATCAAAAACGAAACTTAAATTATTTATTTAAGGTTTGTATATGGCTCGGATGTGACAGCAACTTTTTCATTAAAATCGGCTAACTGGAAATGCCACTTCATATCATCGATTTTACACATTTTTATGATGATTTTCTTGAAAATAGCTTTAACGATGTTGATTAAACTCGGTGTATTAATGTATAATTAAGTAATTTTTAATATTATTTAGGACTTATCCCTATTGATGTCACTTAATGGAGCTTAAGTGCTTGATATTCAAAATATCTTCTTCAAAGTAACTTTAATTTGGTTTATGAGGAGTTAGTCGGGGGTGCGGTCAGATAAATACTAAATTAAAATATAGTAATTATTTTATTTTAATTTTGCCGATGTTTCGACCCACTTTGCAGGGCGTAGGATGTAGCACTGTGGGAGGCAGTTGAAAAACACTGTTAATTTGGTTTATTTTAAATAATTAACTATCACTCATTGCAAGGAGTTATGAAAAATGGTTAAACATAACTTTTGAAGGAATTTGATAATTGAATAAAGGAGAAAAAAAGAAAAATGCTTATTCAGTTCGAAAATGAATCTCCAGAAATAATAATCAGAAGGTATACAAATATCGTTGGAAGGCAAAGAATTTTAGAATAAATAACGTTGCAGAAGGCAACTGAGAGTGACCAAAAAAATATAAATTTTGATTTCTGAAAACTAACATTATTCAAGGTAAAGTAAATTAAATTTTCTTATTAAATGTAAACTTTCAAAATTTCTTCAAGTTTGGAAAAAAGTACTTAAAATCCACCGAATCAAGGCAATGACATTGTTTACGATTCTATTTCATTGTACTGTGTGAAAGAAGTCAAATATAAAAATATTTATGGATATGTTTATAACCTTAAATACATTTACAGTAGTTTAATAACTTTTGATCGAATAATACATTTAAACAATCAGTTATCTATCGTACGTTTATTCCAAAAACTAATCAAGTAAACTTTTAGAAAAGTAAATTAGTGAATTTTCTTTTAGTGATATTCCAACAGTATCTACTTACAATTAGTGTAACTATTGACCTATCTATGACAGGCAATACAAATCTTGTAATTCCATTTTAGTAAATTTTGTTTAGGGAAATAACAGTTTAATAACTAATAGTCATACAATCTATAATCAACCGTCGATATAATAAATAGGACTTTTATTATTTTAATAGTATTTATGATTTGTTAGCTGCAATCTTTTAGCTTTAGCTCAGATAAAAAGGCAATTCAAAACTTTTATAATATCCCAACATGGCTAGAAAATAAATCCTATTCAAAGTAGAGTGACAAGTGAAAATCGTGTTGTGTGCACCAGATTTTTTTAGAATGTTAATTCATGCAATAAATATATAAGGGTAATGTGATTATACAAAGGAATAAGAAACAAGAGGATAGAGAGAACAATAAATCACAATAATTTATTATGGCATTAAGCGGAAGGTACATCTATAATATACATTAATTTAAAAACATTCAATTAATAAAAAAATGACAGCCACGATAACATTTTGTTTAATAACAGAAGATGGTTAAAACATTTAAACTTTATTGAAAGCAGCTATGTCGACACTTTGCACCTGAAAAAGTAAAAGCATAAATATAATTAAAGTGTACTGGTTTGTACTAAACATCATAGAAAAATATATGTCAATGAATAACTAAATATTATTAATCAATATCTTGTTAGAGAAAGGGTTTTTCTTAACTGATAAGCCAGTTTAAGCCAACACTTTCTCTAATATAATATCCCTGTTTTCCCACAGGCTTTAAGTTATTAATCAACTTAAACCTTCTAGCTAAAACAGGTTAACTAAACATAAAACAACAGGTCATATAAAAAAATATTAAATTCTAATATTTTATATATTTATAAAAAAATATATTAACATTTTATATATACATTTTATAAATATAAAAAAAAAAAATCTAATAAAACTTTGAATTTAAGTAAGAAACACTTCCTGTTATTGAATTTGCTCAAGTAAATTAGGTGAATCATTTATAACCACTTCAAGTTCTGAAAAATCCCTGAAGAAACATTTTCATAGTCTTATTTTAACTCCAGTAAATTTGGACGTTATCTTTCTTTGTCAAAACAATTCACACTATTGATGAATTATTGTCTGATCAAGTACAAAAAGTCAGGGATGTGATCATAGAGATAAGGGAAGTAAATGTGTGTCATTCGCCACCTAATAACTTGTAAACCAAAAAAGGTGGGATAATTGTGAACCTACTTCAAACTGTGAAAGTATTTTCTTTTTTATCATGGGTATTGTACTAAAAATAGCTTATAAATATTATTTACAACAGTTCAATCATCCAAAACTTTTCAGGAGGGAACTTCTCCTTTTTATTTAGGAGGATTCTATTATTCAACTAAAAAAAAAAAAAAAAAATAGATATACTTACATAATCTTCGATCTCTTGAATAGTTTCCTGAAGCCAATCAACTGAAACTTTGTCATCTTCAACAACGCAAGAGATCTGTAGTTTGTGAATTCCATATGCTAATGGCACAAGTTTAGCTGAAAACATAAAATGAAAGAATGTAATGAAATCAAAATAAGATAAGTTTTTGCTTTACAGAAATTATAATTATATATGATGTAGAGATGGTTGACCGTTGATATAATATGAGAAGGAGTTAGACGAGGGTGCGGTCAAATAAATAAAAAAATTAAAATATATAAATTATTTTAATTTTTGCCGACGTTTCGACCCACTATGCAGGTCGTCTGCAGGGTTACAAAAGATACAAACAAGTTGAAAAAATAAAAATAAAATAAAAAATAAATATAAGTATATATAAAATACGAAGAAGTTGTCAGATACAGAAATAAAAGATAAAGAAAATAAATACATGATAAGAAAATAGATAAAAGAAAATAAATACATGAATGTTAATGAATAAATAGATTGAAAATTGAATAACTATTGTTACAGTAAAGTTAAAATATGGATAAGATAACATAATATTTTAACTTTACTGTAACAATAATTATTCAATTTTCAATCTATTTATTCGTTAACATTCATGTATTTATTTTTTTTATCTATTTTCTTATCATGTATTTATTTTCTTTATCTTTTATTTCTGTATCTGACAACTTCTTCGTATTTTATATATACTTATATTTATTTTTTATTTTATTTTTATTTTTTCAACTTGTTTGTATCTTTTGTAGCCCTGAAGACGACCTGCAAAGTGGGTCGAAACGTCAGCAAAAATTAAAATAATTTATATATTTTAATTTTTTTATTTATTTGACCGCACCCTCGACTAACTCCTTCTCATATAATTATATATGTCCAATAATAATGGTCTAAGATGCCGTTTCTATTTAATTGGTTAGAGAGGTGTTAATAATGGTTATGATTTATTAACTATTAACTTATCACTTCCACCCACTCTTGAGAGTTTATGACATAATGTTACAATTCTTTTAGGTTGTATTTTTAATGGTGACCTGGTAATACTATATATACATTTAGTAAGATTTGACAAGAGCTTCTTAATTATTTGATTAAAAAGAGAAACTCATGTCGGGTTGAATTCTTGATCATCAACATTAAATACATGATTATCCTTTTTCAGTAACGGGATTGGAACTAACCCTAAACTACAAGAAAAATGGTCTAATTTCTACCAACAGTAACAAAATAAAACAAAACTGTCTTAAATTTATAATGGTACGTAAATAAAGTTAATTAATAGCATCAATATTAATTATGAATCTCAACTGTTGCAATTAAAGAAAAAATACTTACAGGCCCCCCATACAAGACCATCTGTTGTTATTTTTCTGACTTCTGCTTCCAATTCTTTCATGTTCGTTTCGTCATCCCACGGCTTGACATCAAGGATGATGTTGGATTTTGCAATAAGAACAGGTTCTAGAAGAAAACAACATAAGATCAATATAATAGTTTATTATCAATATTAGCATAACTAAAATTTGTTATTGAAATAATCGTAATATAACATAACTTATCTTAATTAATATTTAACAAATTAAATAATGCAATCAATAATACTGGAGGTATAATAAAAAAATTTTTTTTTTAATGTTACATGAATTTTAAAGATACCAAAAACGAAAATTAAACTTCCTTTCTTTGATATAAAAATAAAAAAATTAAACACCTTATTCATGTTAAAATATAGAAAAATATTATTAACTTCTTTTTTTTTTTTGGAGAGAAATATTTAAAAACCAGAAATCACCTTCCCCAACACAGAAACAGTTACTTAATAAATAGATATAAGAATATAATTAGAAAAATTGTATAGATTGTTCCGAAAAATTGATGAACACACCGTAAAACATTTGTCATTTCAAACGTTATATATTTCATATCTGTATATATTTATAGCAGTGCTGTACAATCTATTAGGATGTCCCATAAGCTTTTTCGGAGCCATGCTACGTATGTAATCATGCTGACTTATCTATTGCCCATTTACATTTACATTTTTTAATTTGTTATTCATTATTTTGTTACTTCCTTTGATTAAAAAAAATAAATATCATATCCTTTATTAGCATGAGATTTCTGTTATTTGATATCACATCTGATTGTTTATTGATTTGGTTTTTTAAATCTTCGATGTGTTTTATATGAAGGAAGGGAAATAAAAAAAACAAAAAAAAAAAAAACATGATGCTAAGTAATAATGTTAATAATTCATGTATGTTTATATTTTCCTATGTAAAGAAAGGCTTTATTTTTCACCACATTTATTTTCATTTCTCCTCTACAGTGGCTAAGTTTGGGCTATGATGACATTTTCAAGCCATTAATTTAATACTGCTCTTTCTGTTCAGTTCATAATTGGATTATTATGGAAGCCACTGTGGAGGAGAAATGAAAATAAATGTGTTGAAAAATACAACCTTTCTTTATATAGTAATGTTAATAACTATAATGTCAAATATCAATAAAGCTGAAAGAGTTGTAAAGAACGATGAAAGATGGGACATTATAAAGCAAATATTAAGATCCAGAAATAATCATGCAAAATCAACATCTAGTAATAATATTTATAAAATTCATAACATATAATTAAATTAAAAATAAAACAAACTTTATTTCATAATTCATCAATTTGATGACACTTCAACAGTCAAAAAGCCTTAAGGAAATTACTTGCAGTATATTTTATATTGGTTAATAAATACATAAAATATTGATAGTTTCTTAATGCAAATTTCATGTTAACTCACTCTTTGCCTTCCTTGCAGCATACTCAGCAAGCCTCTGTTCTTTGATTTTGGCTGCCTCTGTATCTTCTTCCTACAAATCAACAAATAAAATTTGTTTAAAAGGTACAATTTTATATCCTAATCCATATTATACTTCAATACCAGTTCTTGATAAGGTCAACTAGATACATTAAGAAAATTATGAATATGATGCTGCAAATTTATCAAGTAATTAATTTATAGCAAATATAAAACCTGATCAGTGATTAAACAGTATAAAATTTATGACAGTCTTTTTGCCCAGTTTGCTTTTGAAGGCAATATTATTAATATCAAGGATAAGGAGTTAGCTCCTCGACATACCCACACATTGATACGGTGAGAAATCATGAGGATTTATTAACAGCAACAAGTAAGTGACAGCAGATAAGTTTAAAATTAAGAGCCAACAGCAGCCTTCTAAAGCAGATTAAGATTGCTTACGTGAAAGGGCAGGGAGCACTCTGTACAGCCATTGTGAAGATAACTCCCTTGGTCTGACATTACAAAAACAGTATTGTTGGTTCTCCTGGAATGGGGGTTTAATGTGGGATCAATACCCCTCCTCAGAAAAAAATTACTGAATATGACATCCACCATCATAAGAATAACAAATAAGACATAATAATAACAACCATCGCATATATAGGAACAAAAAAAAATAGGGCTTTGACCAAGGCTACATGGAATGTCAGAACTATGTTGCAACCAGAGAAAATGATAGAAGTTGTCAGTGAAATTTAAAATATAAAATGGGTGTGAATACATCCTAAGAAATTCGATGGACGGGTCAGGGACACATTGATAAGAAGGAACATAATCTCATTTAGAGCGGCAATGTGCAGGGAGATTATCAGGCCAAGACCATGCTCAACTGCCAGGTTTTCTCTTTTATACAGGCTGGTTATGTCCCGGAAGGGTCTTCCGGACCCAGGATCAATCAATAGCTGATGAAAAATTATTTGAAATCAGCTAGACTCCAACCCAGAGCGTGAGCCTAGCAGCCCAGTGTTTATATCACTGAGCTACTCCACTCCATAAGATGGAATCTAGAGAAGCCCAAATCCGATCAGGAAGAATGCTTCCAAGAGGCCTTAAGTACGAATCTAAACGAAAAGGAAGAAAAGAGTGATGTGAAGTCTTGTGACTTATGATGGTCAAAAGCCTGTTTGAAGTAAAAAAAAAAAAAAAAATAGGGAGACGTCAATATTGAAGCTGATATAACTTCTCCAGTATTAGCTTTACAACAAATATGCGATCTGCAGTTCCTCTATTAGGTCAAAAACCACATTTAGGATTATTTCAGAAGAGACTTTAAGTCCATCTATCAGGAACCTGGAAGGAAGAGTACTTCAAAACCTTTAGTGCTCAAACCACGCCCTGATGATGACCCACATGTTCGAGTTGAAACACTGGCACTAATAAAAATATAAAATGACTGCGTCATGAATATTTATCACACATGATATGTAGAACAGTGGAGTAGCTTCTTTCAAAAATAATAATTAAATTTACTTTTTAGTGTTAAAGAATAACCTAAGTAAATTTTTTAGGATAATACATTTCAATATCACTCCATTGATTTTACCAAACTTTAAGAATTGGAATAATTTATATTCTTCTCCAAAACTCTAATAATCAAATCATGGTTTCAGTTCTAAGCTAAAATATTACTTTTTTCTTATTTAATTATTAACTGTCCTCATGAACGTAAACTAAGGACCCCGTTTAGAAGGAACTTGCATTTCATATTATTTTAAATGTGACTTTTAGTAAGGAATATATAAATTTTATTCAATATACAAATCTTTTTTTTTTTAAACAATGTTCCTAAAAAAAGTTTGATATACAGAAATCATACTGTAATACTATTGATAACTGATAATACAAAAGGATGAAAGATTTATCCAGAAATCATACCTCTGAGTCAGAACCAAAGAGGTCAACGCCATCATCATCTTCAGCATCATCTTTCTTAGGATGTGGAGCAGGAGCAGGTACTTTATTATCTGCAGGCTTGGACCCTCCAGCACAAGTTTTTTCCAAAGAAACGATTCTAAGGTCCATTTTCTTCAAAAGCTCCACAAGTTCACTAACCTCTAAAATTTAATAAGCAATAATGTCATCACAGGAAAAAATATTTGTATTAAAATAAATGCAATTTAAAGAACATTACGATTTTTTAAATCCACATTTTCTTTTTCCAAAGAGTTAAGACGATTTGTTATTTCAACACTGACAGTATTAGAAGTGACAGCAATATCATCTATCTGAAACAAATAAAAACTATTTTTTTCTCATAGTTCTAATTTTATCATAGATACAGATGGATTTATATAAAGAAAAAAATAAATAAATAAAGTTATTAAAATATCATTATTATTAATTAATAAATTATATTATTAAAATTAATCATTTAAAAAATTTAATAGGAACATGCTAGTGCATAGTTAAGAAAAAAAGGAATTAACTTAAAAAAATTATGCATGAAATACATTTTAATAATTGTTCAGGTGTCGATTTAACAGGATATGGGATAATAAAAATATGCCTTACACACTGTAAAGAATTTTTGATGTGCTGCCTCGCTTTGGCAACTTCGCCGGCGAGGGAATTCCATGAGTTGCTATTCTGTGAAACGCCCTTAACAAAACCATTAAATCTCAGTTAATTCTAGTTTATAGAATAGAAAATAAAAAAGCTAGAAAAATTCATTATTATTGAATATAAGCCCACATTAATAAATTATCAAATAATACAACATCAGTTCTTTAAAATGACTAGAGATATGTTAATGTTATTCATAGTTATAAACATTTGACACCATATATAAGTCATAATACAATTTATCATGCCTGAATTAACGTACAATTTTTTGGTAATCCCAACTTAATACAAGTAATAACCAAGTTAAAGGAAAAAAAAGTTTGGTACTTTATAAATTTAATACACATTTGGTAATCATTGGTGTACCTTTTTGTCCCTTTGACGCTCCTTCTTGTGCCTTTTCTTTTTCTTAGATTCTTTTTTGGCTTGATCTTCAGCCTGAGGGTCATTGATACTGTCTGATGGAATTATAAGTTCAACTGAATCTTGTATATCAGGAAGAGGAGCTCTAGTAAGAGGAACTTTTTTAAAATTATTTTGAGAATTATTGGACTTTTCATAACAAGTCGTGATTTTGGATATTTCTGGGATTGTGTTAACATTAGTTCCTTTATTTTTAAGGGAATCAGATGGATAGGAAAGATTTTTAGAGGGTAGGTAATATCCTTTTAGCTGCTTGCACACAATAGAAAGATGACAATTAACTATTAATCAATAATTAACATGTTATACATAGATTTTATCATGCTTTTCCATAAACATGCTTTAAAAATATGAACATATGTCTTAACAAAAAATAATAAACTCTTGTGCTGAGGAAATTAACATAACTAGGTAACTAAATAAAATATAAGTATTAAATAAATTATAACAAGCTGACAACCACAAAAATTATCATTCCACAAAATCTACCAACATTTATTACCTTGACTACTTCCGAAACTGGGTCAATAAAACTTCCTTTATCAGGAACAAACTCTTGTTTCAAACCTTTATCATCAGCGACTTTTGTCTTATTCTGACCTTTGCCTTTGGAACAAGTAATATCTCCAGTTTCGATTTTCATCTGGGCAATAACTTCACTTTTTGATAAAGTATTATCCCGGCTATTGACATCTGTTTTCTTGGGTTTCTCAGATTTAGAACCTACCTCTACTTTAGTAGTTTGTGGTGAACAGCTTGATTCATTTTCAGTAGCTTTATTAAGTGAAACTGATTTAGAGTGATTAGCAATGGCCTGGGCCCCTGATTCAGACACAGGCCGTTGAGAACTACCAGGTGACATTCTAATCAGTTTTAAAGAGTCTTTAGGTTGAGGAGTAATATATACTGATTTACGGCGAAAGATTGACAGATCAGGTTTCATGGTATCCTCTTCCAATTGGGCAGAGCATGGTTCAATTTTACCCTCTTTAATCATGGTATCTTCACTGTTATCTAATTTACCTAGATGGATTTTTGATGGGCTCATTACATCTGATATAGGACAGGAATCATTTAAGCTAACTTGAGCATCTTGGCCCTCACTAAGACCTGCATTGTCCTGCTGATCGGTGACAATTGTACTATTGGCGACTTTGGCCGATTCTGAGGACTAATACAATAATTTATAAAATAATATTAAACGAAAGTTTTTTTAAATTACAATTAAATTGTAGTTCAAATTACCTTGGCTAATCTTTCATAATATCTCCTTTCAGCGGCATCGTATTTTGGCTTATCCAGCCAAATTTTTTCGTGGACCATAAGTGGAGAAGAAATCATAATGCCTGGAGACAAATGGTACAGGTAAATATAACAAGAAAACTAGATAAATTACGTCTTAAACGTTATCATTAAAATACGAACTTCTATAGAATCAACCAAAGGCGTTCGACACGTTGAAACCTCAACAACGAATTAGAGAAAGATCCAGCAACTTCCACAAAGTCGGAAGAAAATCAGCTATCGATTTTCTCGGAATATAGTATGTTTGTTTGATAACCTAATTTTTAAATGCAAATAAATAATCTCCTCTTTGTCAAAGAATGTCATATTTAATTAGATTCAATTTTATAACTTTTATAATTCAATATCTGAAAATTACATTGCTCAAAACACAGAACATATGACTGACGTGTGTTCAACATGATAAGGTCTGGAGTTCTAGATAGCAATGACTGAGGGTATTATGTAGGGGACAGGTAGAATTGTATATGTATATAGATTGTATTGGGTTTTCCAAATTTACTATTGTAGTTTGTAATATACATACTGATATAGAATAAGGAATCATACCTTTCTTAAATTTTTATAACCGACATGGACGATTTAAATTTATCACAAGACCAAACAGAGAAAATTCTTCAGTTTCAAGTGAGTTACAATGTTTCATTACAATTAAAGCTCCAAGTGTTATATTTTTTGTTTGTGATGCTTGTTAATAGCTATTTAAAATTGCATAGGACCTTACTGGGATTGAAAACCTGGCTGTATGTAGAGATGCTCTTCAAAGACATGGTTGGGATCTTGAAGTCGCAGTACAAGATCAGCTTAACATCAGTGAGGGTAGACCTTCATTATATGCTTCAGAACATACTGCACCAACTGTAGTGAATGATGGTATTGTACAGCATGTATTTTACTCTCCGCCCTCTGGTAGTTACAGGTATGTTGTGTTTCATTTTTGATTTCATTACTTTGTAAGGACCTGTTGAAGGTTTTTCATTATAAAGTAACAATTTGTGTCTTTTTAGATGGGGAGGTCCTTTTGGATATTTTGTAACATTCGTCTTCCAGTTCTGTTATAATACATTGACTTCGATTCTGAAATTTGCCTTTTCACTTTTCTGGAAAGATACTCGAAGAGGTATGTATTATTTTAAGGTATTAAATTTTTTTAGTAAGTTTTGTTTTTAATTGATATGTGATAGTACCAGTGTATTAATCTGATTAAAAATGTCTTTGACATGTTTTCCACAAGATGAGAGAAATTTCTGGTACAAAATTTAGTGGTTAACAGTTGTTATTACAAATATATGTTATTTCTGTGGATATTATATGATTTTATTGTGTATTGGTCTATTACATTCCCTCATTAAAAATTGATGCATCCATGGTCTGAATAATTAAATTAAAAACTTTTTTTCAAGTTCTCTTAAAGTACTAAGCTTTGAATTTAGTTAGTATCCAATGTCAAAAATTTTTCATACTAAATAAATAGAAGTTTGTCTTACTAATGATGCTGCATCTCCTGTCATAGAAGTAACTCTGACTGTCAGTACTGTTATGTTAACTTCCTGCCTACATAGTTCTGGCCTAAATCCCTGGTATTTGTTGTATCTCTCCTGCAAACTTATAACTAAATTTGCTGTTTTAACAATCCAATTGAATTAGCTGATATAGTTTAATCCATTAGGCTCAGTTTATGTGTTGTGTGTCTTTAATCGATTGTCCTGATTGAGTTATCTCCAAATACTCCCAGAAAAATAAAACCAATTTGTTGTTTCATCCTTAATATTGAAGATATGATGTAGAGAATAGACTTTTATTTTCTTAATTATAAGTGCTGTAGTGGTTTTATTAAATAAATCTTAATTCTATGGTCCAAGCACTATTTTCAATCTACGGTCAGTCTCTTTTGCAATTTTTTTGTCAGTGATTGGGTATGTTTTCCTCTTAATATTGTTTGTTACAAGCCCATCTATACAACCTATTACTACATCAGTTCATTTTTGGAATGATAAGACACCCTCTGATAACCTTTCATGGTTCTTATTTTAGTTTCTCCTATTGTGGCAGTAATAACTAAGTATGTTGCTGAATGGGCTCATTTTTTATGCAAAATGATATTGATACTGACTTTGACCTAGTTAATTTTTTGTTTTCTTTTTGAATTATTAATACTTCATGTGATATTTCCTAATTTCTATTAAAGGTTATGTATACCTGAAGAAATTGATTTTTCATTATTTCAATGTTGTGGTTGAACGGGAAATCTTATTAATAAACTCTAAAAAATGCGATTGTAATAGTTTTTTTTTAGCAAATTTAGGCAGTTTAGCTACCTTTTGATTATTGTAATAATGATTTCTTGTTGGGCTATGCTTTCATTCGTAATGTACACCTTTATTGTAAGTGCGTTAAAAGGATTTAATAAATTAATGTTGAACAGTTAAAAGGTAAGCTAATCTAGTTCTACTAGTTCAGGGAAAAGAAAATGGCTGCTCTGTAGTTTTTCCAAAAAGGAAATGGAACAAAAGATTTGTTTTGGCAGGCAGTTGTTGTTTGGCTGCAGTGAAGAGAGGAGGAACTGGGCTCTAGTGGGTAAAACCCAGTAATAGGATTACCATCTTGAAAGTTGTTATTTGGTAGAGACACTAGTTGTTTGGAATCACATTAGAGAGGATATCCCAGGGAGCTTGAGTTGAGTAGAAGAAAGTGTCACTATTTATGGAAGTTGTGTTTGGCAGAACATTGCAAAGCATTTGAAGACAAATGAATTTAGTGCAACAAAGGAAGAAATAGTATCTATAGAAAAAAGGTTAGCTTGCTAATTTATACTTACTTTATTTTAAAATCAGTGTTTAATTTTAATATAAATAGTGTAAATAATATTATTACTTGTAAAATATAAGAGAAATATTACATTTTGGCACCATATTAATATCAATATAATTAACAGTTATTCTATCTCAGGTATGGGTTACTGACAATCAGATCAACTCAGACAAACTATTATTATTTATACTAAAATTAAACACTGATTTTAAAATAAAGTCAAGTATGAATTGGCAAGCTAATTTTTTTTCTATAGGTAATATTTCTTCCTTTGTTGCACTAAATTCATTTGTCTTCAGATATTCTGCCAAATAGAACTTCCAAAATAGTGACACTTTCTTCTACTCAACTCAAGCTCCCTGGGATATCCTCTCTCTTGTGATTCCAAACAACTAGTGTCTCTATTAAACAACAACTTTCAAGATGATAATCCTATTACTGAGTTTTACCCACTAGAGCCCAGTCCCTTCTATCCTCTCTCTCTTCACTGTTTTTGGGAAATCTACAGAGCAGTTATTTTCTTTTCCCTGAACTAGTAGAAATAGATTAGCTTGCCTTTTAACTGCTGAGCATTAATTTATTAAATCCTTTTTACCTATTTCCAATAAAGGTGTACATTACACATTGTTACCCTTTACTTTCTTAAATCCAAAATATAGCAGCTCTTATTTACTTATCTCATTATAAGGATCAATATTCCCTTCTCCATTTTAACATATTCCTTTGTAACACTTCCTAGCATTTATAAGTGTTTATTATTGTCTCTTACGGGTAGTCAGAGATTAAAATCTCGTTTGGTCCACTGAGACGTTTTAAGTAGAGATAAATTTCTTTATTTGATATTTGATTCATAAAGTTTTAATTTTTAGTAATTGCAAAAATTATTACTCAGAAGTTCCTAAATTGTTTTCTTATTGTCTATAGTCAAAGATCAATCTAGCTTGCAGATTGAGCTAGAATCATTTCTAGTCTTCAGCTTACCATTTCTAGCTTCCTCTCAAATAGATTTACTTCTTTATTAATTCTCTTTGAATTATTAGATAGTTAGTATTCCATGGTCTTACAGTGGTTTGTGAAGGGTTCCACTTCTTCCTTCCTTGAAGCCAATTGGCTAAGGCAAAAAGCATCCCCATGTTTTTACTGTTATTAACTATATCAATGTCATTGCAACTAAGTTCTGTATAATGTATTCTAAAACATTAAACAGTTTTATTTTTATTATAGCTATAGATGTTATGTTATTCGAATATCATTCAATGTTCAATCCTATGTCTTCAAGTGTTAACTACAAAATTCATCATTTTTTCATTTAATTTTTTTTTTTTATTCTGATTGATAACATTGCCAGTAATTTGTGTGTATTTTATTTAGTTACTAGTTGGCCTGTGCGAACAATTCGCTCAGTATATTGGTCAGTGATCAAATGACAAAATAAAATAATGAAACGTATCATAGGATGGAGAAATCAATTCATCTTTTTTTGGTAATGATAACCGACTAAGGGAATGAAAATTTATTTAAAACTTCTTTTGGTTTTTTAAGCAACAGTTTTCCAAATATGCTGTATCTTTGCTAATATTGGTCCAATTTTTATTTTTTTGTTTTGTAGGGAATTTAGTAATCTATTGATCAATCGTGGGTTTAAATCAACAAAACAGTGCATTTGAGTTATCCACAAATAAAGTTTCTTTATCTTCATAACTTTTTTACCTGAATTTAAGGGATGATACAACCATTTTCCCCCATATAAAGGAGAAGGAAATCTTCAAAATGAAGATTAAATCTTTGGATTTGATAAAGAATTAATGAAGATATTGGGTACAGAAAAAAAAAACATATGATAAATAATATTAACTCCTCTCTCAATCATAGGAACCTCAAGTCGATGTACGTGAGATCTATATCCCATGGCTGCACTACAATTAATGCGAGATTGTGTGGCTGAGAACCCTTTTGCTTTGCATTATCTCAAAAAATTTTCATTTTTTTGTTTTAAAACGCATGGCCGGCAAAATGATGTCCGTATCAAAATCTGCAAATTCCAATTATTCCCATCTCGATCCACCAACTTACTACTCTCTCAGTATTAAAGCCTAGGGAAATGTTTATATCGACTTTATTTATTCTAGAAAGAAAAATAAAAGCATAGAGTACGATTCGTCAACTTAGAAGAAAAGTATAACATTATTTTCAGAACACTGAACAAATATAAAAAGGAATTTTGATTAAGTGGTACGTTTTGCTGCTGGTTACAATATATAATATTAGCATTGTAGAGCAACTTTGCAATTTTATTACAAAAAAAAAAAAGTCATTTAAATTTCTTAAGACAAAATCTTAGATTAAGCCATAAAAAAAATGAAACAGGAAACTGGAAAAAACAAATAGGAGTTACAACACTAACCAATAAATTTGTATTCACAATTACAGAAATATGTGTTTGTAGAGCCACATCATTCATATAGAAAAATGTTTTTTTTTTTTTAATCTCCAATATACCACATGTACATTTATATAAATGAATGATTCACACGTTAGTAAGTTGTTTAGTTGATGAGAACTATGTGCTTGTATTTGTATAGAAAGTTTCAGAACTGTTGGTGCATTGGCTTTGTTTTTAAAATCTATAATGAATGAGTTCCTTATAAATTATAAAACAACTTTTATTACTTATTTATTATCATACTGCACTACTTTTCGGCAATATAGATCTTGAAATTAGTAGTGCTTGCCATCTCTAAAGTTTCTTTTAATTCTTTATTTCATCCTCGTACCTCTTTCTTTTCATTGAAATGATTTGTGCCCACTCCTTTCTTCCACCCATGTACAGAAGCTTCGTAATTCTTTCAATGTACTTACTTTCGATAAAGTATTTTTTCGTAATTTGAATGCTTACCTTTTAGATTAAACGTTGGTTGTTTTTTATTAAACTTTTCTGAATTTCTTCCCCCAGTTTGTTTCTCAGAGGGATATGCTGTACCAAATGAGTCTTTACTTATGAAATTATCCGGAACACTTATTATCTGTATATAAAACATACGAGAAGATCATTTGAGTTTGCAATGGTCGCGATCCGTTCACTTTTGAATTATAAGTCTGATGTATGATGTATGATAAAAAATTATCTCTAATATCCTCAAAGAGCCATCCATGGCTTGAGAACTACAGTTTTCCGATTCCTCGCCCAAGTGAGAAAAATAGGTTGAAGTAGTTATTTATTTACGTCACAATAATTTTAAGTTTATTTTTAAAGGACAAACAATTTCATTTATAAGAAACATACTTATTTATTATCTAAAAGGCAGATTGTTTACTTAAAAAATAGTTTAAAAAACAAAACAGGAATTTCAGATGTTACATGGGCTTTTTTTTTTCCTGTATATTGATAGTCATTGTTATCGTTGGTCCCTACTACAATATTGTTCTTGTTATGTTTAATATCAAATTACAAATCAACCTAAAGCATTGTTTCTTTTCATTATATGTCACAATTAATTTAATAATTTAATTATATGGTTCTGATTCGTATTTCAAAATATTTTTTACATTAAAATGTTCAATTGTCTATAGGTAAGTAGATTAGAGAGACGAACCATTAAATAAACCTAACCTGAAAGATAGAAACAATTCAATAACCTCTAAGGTTGTACAGTTAAACATTAGATCCCTTAAGTACTCATAATGGACTTTTACAGAATCACAGGTTTTAATCAGATTTACTAATTTAGAGAAAAAAAGTTATAGGTGGAGGTCTTACTATATATAGTTAAATATTTCTTCCTAACAAATCTATTTATTATAAAACCCATTCATTGTGATTTTATAGATGTTACAGTTTCTTGTGTTATGTCTTTGAACCGTAATAACCATTAATTAAATAAACCAAAGATACACAATTTTTTTTCTTAACAAGGTTTAATGATTTGTTTTAAAACTTTACTATCGACTTAATTTGCATATAGTTCTTATTTCCTTGTTATTTTTGTATGATAATCCTTATTTTGGTATGTATATTTTCTATTTTATAATTATTTATCTTTTAATATTCTTATTTTTCTGTATTTATTTTATTCCTTGCCATATTAATATTATATTATTGATTTTTCCATTTCTGTGCATTTCTTTCTATTTTCTTCTCATCAAATTCATTCTACAATTCTGGCCCTCAGGTATATACTGTACTGTGTTATTTAAATTAGCTTCATTAGTTTAGCAGTTTGAATATTGTTGAAATATTTTTCTATTTCATAATGAATTATTATTTTTGGTCAAAAAGGCAGTTAGGCCAAATTTTATGCATCAAATCTAGCCACTGTGTACAATCTGACTTAAAACCTAATTGCACTAATGTAATTTAGTTAAAGAATGTCTTGTCCGATACAGACCAGTTTATTTCCAAGATCCAGAATTTTCACTACTATTGTTGTATTTTCAATTTTCAATTTGTATATTTTTGTGTACTCCAACAACTGGCGTAGCCTTCCCAAACTTTACTGACTAATATAATAAAAATTACTATATTTTATCGCTTTTGTGATATTTTTGTTTATTTTTAAAAAACTGTAAAGCTTTTTTTTTTATACTAACCCATGAGACCAAGCTAGAGCCTAGATCAACCAGATTCCAGGTTCCTGAGTGCCCTGTCAAAGTTTCCAAGGATTAACTTCTTCTTCATTCTATTTCTATCCTAAACACAATTTCTGAAAGACTATAGTAAATATTGTCTATTCAAAAGAAGGCCATCATATCTCAAAATCGTTATAAAAAAAAAAATTATGAAATTTTATATTGTAAAATTTGGAAATTTTATTTAAAAACACATTATAAAACTTATGTTGTGGTTTTCACCTTTATAATGATATTCTAATTAAAATTTCAACTCTTCATTACTTAAAATTTCATGATTTATTTATTTATCGAGATAGACAATTTTTATATTTTATTTTTTGGTTGAAAAAGTGAATTACATAAAAAAACTCTTCAGCTGTTACAGATCCTGTAGGAGATGTTCTTAAATTTATTGACCATTTCAATGAAGCATATGGAAGGAACCATCCAGTTTTTTATCAGGGCTCTTACAGTCAGGCCCTCAATGATGCTAAACAAGAACTGAAATTTCTTCTTATTTATTTACATCAAGAGAACAACCAAGACTGTACAAGTTTTTGTCGGTAACTATCTTGTAGATCCATTACTAAAATATATTTTTTCTTCTGTTCTCTTTTTTATTTAATATCTGTTATTTACTTAGTGAGACGCTTGCTAATGCAGAAGTTATTAACTACATAAATAATAACGTACTGATGTGGGCTTGCACCATGAATAGCGGTGAAGGATACGCAGTATCTCAAACACTGCGAGCTGGTGGATTTCCTTTCCTAGCTATGATTGTTTTGAAAGAATCCAGAATGACTCTAGTTGGAAGGTAATATTTTTATTTCCACTAATTATGCATTGCTGATGTATTTCTGTATTTTTTAATAAGTCTGGGTTATTCTTATTAACTCAAACTTGTATTGATTAGCAAAAGTAATTTTCTTTTCTCAAAAAAATAAAAGAGGATTGATTTGCCAGGGTGAGTTGTTTAAAAAAAAAAATTTTTCCACCTCTTCTTTTAGGCTATGTGGAGGGTTACAGCGATATTATCGTAGCAAACAGAAAATATATATATATATATATATATATATATATATATATATATATATATTCTCTCATTGGTAAGGAGGAAATAGTGAGCTATTAAAAGATTTTTTCATTTACTGTAAAATATTGTCTCTATATCTTTTTTTATAATTTCTAAAAGAGTAAATCTATAAAAAAAAAATTCTATGAAAACAATTTTATTTGTGAAAATTCCATGTTTCTTAAAAATTGTATAATTCATTTTATCAGAAATGGAAATATTTACAAATTTAAAAGTTTTGCCTCTTACTTATATTATTGTTGGTTTATTACAAGAAGTCATTAAGTAAAATTACATAAAATTAAATTACGAAGTACATTGATGAATTTTCCTTCAGAGAAATAAAGACATAGTGCAATTAGTGTAATCATTTTTAGTATATAAAAGGACATGTCTCATTTTGATGCGCTTACTATGTTTTGTATTGGTAAATAAGATTGAAATTTACATGTTTTGTTCATATTTGTAAATTTCGATCTTATTTACCAGTACAAAAACATGGTAAGTGCATCAAGATTATGTATTTTTAAAATTAATTAAAAATGTCTTTAGATATATTTAATTTCTCACTATATGTATGTTTATTTTTTTTCTACTCAATCATCTTGTTTAATACTATTTAATTTTTTACAATACCATTATGAGCATTCATCTAAATCTTTTATGTTATAGCTGTAATTCTTTATTTTGTTTCCTTACTTTTATTTAGTTTTTTGTTTTGTTTTTTTATTACTACAATGATTTGCTCATGAAATTAATTTAACATTCCTTTCCAATTTTACTTAGTTATTTTTCTTGAGCTTTATTTAGTCTAAAGTTTCTTTTCCTTATTGATCATTGATTTTTTTTTCCTTCAAATTTTCTTCATTTCTCAATGTTAGTCCTCTCTTAAAATGAATTTACTGAAATAATACTTGTCCTCCCTCATAATGAGATGATAGAAACAATCAGGCAGCCCCAACCTGTTAAAGTTGAAAATTAGATTAAGAGTGAATTAGATTGAGCTGTCAGATTTCCGATGTGTAAGGCTCGCTAATTGAAGTTGCATATGGATTAAAATATCTCAAAACCTAAAAAATCAAACCTGCATATTGTTAGCGAGGAAAATGTTCATCATTTCATCCTCTTTATAATGAGCTATTATTCTAAATTTTGTCTTAATGGAACGCCATTTTAGAGTGGTGATAAGGGAAAAATAGTGTTGAAAACCAAATAATAACGAGTTTTTTAATGAAGATATCGTTTAAAATATATTAGAAACTAAAAATCAGACCTGCTTACTGTAAGGAAGGGAATTGTCCATCATTTCATCCTCTTTGTAATGAGCTATTATTTAAAGTTGTATCTTGGCGCAACTTAGAGAGGCGAAAAGAGAAAAATAGTATCGAAAATCAAATGATAACGAGTTTTATGGGATATAAGGATTAAAATAGCTCAGAAACTAAAAATCGGACCTTCATACTGTAAGCAAGGAAAATGTTCAGCATTTCATCCTCTTTGTAATGAGCTATTATTTATAATTTATATTTCATATTATTAATCTTGTTGATGTTTTCACTTCTCTTGTCTGGTCTAAACCATACACCTTAGTTTTTTTATTACACTTTAGTTTAATTTCTTTACGACAGTTTAGTTTTAAAATACTATTGAGATATAAATTTGAAATAAAAAGTGAACATTTATGACTATAATCTTTATTATCACATTTTTATTTATATGTTTAGGCTAGAAGGACCTACTAATTGCATTGAGTTGATGAGTCGCCTCGGAGCCATCGTCAGTTCAAATGTTTCATATCTAGACACAGCACGTTCTGAAAGGTAAGGGAATTGATGAATAATTGAAAGAACTAATTGGTATTGTAAAAAAAAAACTTTTTTTTTATTTTGCATGCGATATCATCATTTTTATATAAGGTGTCAACATTAAATATCCAAATTGATTAAATTTTTATGGAATTAATATATTTCTTCTTGATAATTTGTAAAAAATATATAAATAACATTTTAATTCAACAGACCAGTTTCTTAAATGTGATATTCTTTGAGATGGTGCTTTGCCAAAAGGTACATACCATATTTAATAATTTGCAATAAACCTCTACAAGTCCTGAAATTTCATTAGCCCATTTTCTTGCTTTGCCATTTGAAGAAAAAGTATTACGTGAGATTAGTTGATTTTAAATGGTCCAATGTAGCTTATAATGTCTCTGTACATTAAATTATGCATGATGCACATGGATTTTTTTTTTTTTTTTTTAGAGCAATAAATTTAGTCTGGGCGTAGGGAGGTGGCAGCCTAGTCGGTGGTCATTTTACCGCAATCAGCCACTGGTCCTCCAGGTTGGGGGAACAATACTCGGACACTCATACAGATACAGATGTATCATGTGATATATTAAATTTGTAACCCTCGGAATCACCCGGATTCGTAGTTGGTAAAAGAATCTCTCAACTAATAATTGATTTCAAACCCATCTAGTCATAGAATATGGTATCTGCAAGTAAATGGCAAATTCTACAATATTATTATCATTAATGTGCATGCTCGACCGAACCATCGTTAGAAGAAGGAAAGGACTCATTCTATCAGGAACAGGAAAGGTCTCTAGATGATTACCCTAGGGCAGATATGAAGATTGTAATTGCTGAATGTAATACACAAATTGGAAGAGAGCATGAATTTTGGCACGCAATCGGAATGCGCAGCATACATCAGGAAACGAATGATAACAGTCAGAGGCTCATTAGTCTTGCGGCATCTAGGGGACTAGTAATAGGTAGTACTGAGTTTCTCCATAATAGGATCCACCTCGCTACCTGGTGCTCTACGATGGAGTGACCTCTAATCAGATAGACCAGATTCTAATAAATGCTATGTTTGCAAACGAGTTTTAAGGATGTGAGAGTGTTCCGTGGTGGGAATGTTGACTCAGATCATGATTGCACGAATTTATGCTAGAATAGCAAAAATGTGTAACACAACCAATAAACGAATAAAGAAGACGAATGTGCATAAGCTGAGAGACCCACAGAAAATACCCGCTTTCATGACATCAATGGACCTAAAGCTCTAAAGCATTGAACTGGATGATGACCTTAGCCTGAGATCGAAAACATATAAAGCAGCAATTCTAGAAGTATCCTCCGAAGTCTTAGGCCGTGAGAAATATTCAAAGAAAGCATCTTGGTTTGATGACGAATGCAAGCTAGTGATGGTTGAAAAGAATTCTGCTTATCGACTGATAGTACAAAGGAAGTTTACAAGAAACTCAGTTGATCACTACCGTCAAAAGCGCAGAATAGAAAAAATATTACACCACAGAAAGAAAAGGAAATGGGAACGTGATCAACTAGAATAAAACAGCTCAAAAACCTCTATTAAAGCAGAAAATTCTATCAGAGGATTAATACTAGGCGTAAGCCGTTTAAGCCTCGAATAACAGCATGCAGAGATGCTGATGGCACACTGCTGAACGATGAGAAGAAGGTACTGGCACGATGGAGGGACTATTTCTGTGGTGTCTTAAATGAAAATGATGAAGTTCAGAGTGAACCTAAGCAAGATATCCCGGAGAGGAACCTAGATCCACCAGATTTTGAGAAAGTTCGAGAAGCAATAGACCACCTTAAAAACAATAAGTAACCAGGAGCAGACAGTATCCACGGAGAGCTCTTGAAACATCGAGAAGCGGAAGTTGAGCAATTTTTGTATGATCTCATTATGGTTATTTGGCAAAGTGAACGAATGCCTGAAGAGGGGTACAAAACACTCATATGTCCTATACATAAGAAGGGGAACATACTAGAGTGTAGGAACTACAGAGACTCCGTCCAATTGCAGAACGAGAAATCTGTTTATACCAAGCTGGGTTCATGAGATGTAGAGGAACTGTGGATCAAATATTTACATTAAGAACAATCCTAGAGAAGGCCAGAGAGTACAATCTCTTTGTACAACCAGATGGTGCTATCTCTTTATTGATTTCCAGCAGGCCTATGACAGTGTTATTAGGGAGAAGGTCTACAAAAATCGGCTAGATGAGGGTGCAGTGTACTGTTATGGTGGGCGGTGGCTTCTCTAGAAATTTTAAAACTTATAAAGGCCTCAGACAGGGTGACAGCCTTGCCTGTCTCTTGTTTAATGTGGCCTTGGAACATACAGTCAGAGGCTTAGGTGTACAGATTGGCCCTGATTCTTGGTTTTGCAGACTATCTGGATAGAATGGGGAGAAGTATTATGTCCATGAAGGAAGCGTTTCTCGCACTCAAAGAGTCGGCCTGACTGTTAATGAACCAAAAACAAAATATATGAGACCAGGTCCTCAAGAAATGGATCAGGAGGAAGCCCAGATAGAAATAGAAGACTGCACATTTTAGTGGGTAAATGAATTTATTTATTTAGGATCCCAGATCAACGTAGATAACAATATACAGCGAGAAATAAATAGAAGGATGATGGCTGCAAATCAGTGCTATTTCAGGCTCCTATAACATCTCAAAAGTAAAACTCTTTCCCGAAACACAAAAGGATTTTATTTGAGGTCCACTAACAAACTTACGCTGCCTAAAGATGTCAATTGCCTTCCAGATATCTCTTGAATCTCTTGCCTCATTTAGTTTTGTTATTATTTTAGTAAAGTATCGATTTTTTTTTTTTTTTTTTTTTTTTTTTTAGATATACTAATTGCTTTAAATTTTGTATGAGCATTCAAATAATTTTTTTTTTATTAGAAGTGATTTGCTTTTCCTGAATAATTTTAAAAGCGCGAATGATTTCAATCTTGCTCTTGCACATTCCCACTCAAACCAATGATTGCGAGCAACTCCACATTTATTTTCTGTTGTTTTTGGAGAAGCTGTTTGTATACAACTAATCAGATTTTCTAGATTTAGTGTTTATTTTTTTCTTCTCATAAATAGACTTCAAACTTTTCTGTAGGCTATTTTATTTTTATTACTACATAATGAATTTTGACTTTGTTTATGTTTTTGGAGAAAAAGTGAAATTAGGACTATATTTTTATTTTTATAAATTAAAAATCATTGTATAGTAATTATTGTTGAGTAAAAAAAATTTTTTTTTTTTTTTAGTTTTCTTGCATTCAGTATAATAAAATTATTTTAAAAAAATGTCCATTGCTCTTTACGATTCATATGGTATGCTAACAAAGAAGGTCTTTTCCCAAATTAAATATAAGTACATAAAGTAAACAATATTTTTTATCTTAAATCTTTAGTTATTGTTTCAAAATATGTTAAAACAAATTGTTTACTTTTGTTCATACAAATATTTATTTATCTTTTCCTTTAATGTTTGTTCCTCAGTTTGATCTTTTGTTTTTATATTGTCTTGATTTCTCAGTTGAGCTTTTGGATGTGTCGTAAAAAATTAAATCATTTGATGAATATTTGAATATGATTCAGAACACCTAAAATAACCAAAACAAATTAAAAAAATTTTATTTTGTTTTCTAATTTTTTTCTACTGAGTTTAAATTGAATTGAATACATTTAAATTAACGTTGAATAAAATGAATCCACTTTAGCTTTATTATCTCTAATTTTAAATTAGACAAAATGTTTTGATTTTGATTTTGTGTGAGGAAAAAATTATTGTTTAGTTATTTATCAGTTAAAAAAAAATCTCTAAAAGTGATATTTATTTTTTGACTAAAAACAAATAATCAATTAAAGATGATGAACTTATATTTCGAGCTAATTTAAGTCCTAAATTAATAACTAATTTTTACCTCAAATAAATTTTAACTTCTATTTTAAAATCATAGGCAACTTTTATTTTATTTTGTGATCAAAAATAGGTGTTATATTTTGATTTGGCTGAAAAATTAATTCTCAAATTCAGTCTCTGCCACCTGGATATGTAGTAAGTTATAACCTGAGGGGTTAAACTTTCTACACTCACTAGATAAGTTTAGTTTAAAAAATTTACTGTCCAAATGGTTTCCTCACTCATCAAACGTTGGTCTTTTATATGAGTTAAAGTGGAGTGATGAAAGCCATTTTTAAAAATAAGAATCGAGAGCTTTATTTTTTCTATTCAAATTTCGTTTGTTTAGAATTGCCAGAAGTCTTACCCAAACAATAAGAAGAGAACAAGATGTCGCTTACATGGAATCGCTAAGGGCAGATCAGGAGAAAGAAAGGAGAAAATGTGAAGAAGAAGAGAGGAAAAGACGCCTGGAGGAGGAAGAAAGAAACCGACAATTAAAAGAACAACTTAGAAAAGAGGTAATAAAGTACAGCATCTTCAAGAAACGTTGTTTAAAGATAGTTCAAAGTGTCTAATTTAACTATTGTGTATTTGATTTGTTTTAGGCCATTCGAAAGGCTAAAGTTGAGATGGCTTCTGAAGTGCCTTCTGAACCAGAAGCTGTTCATCCTGAAGCTGTTTGTGTAGTTTTTAAAATGCCATCTGGTGAACGACTTGAGAGGAGGTTCCTTCGCTCTCATACTTTAAAAGTAATAATCCTCTCATTTGTGTTGAATATAATGCTAATTAGCCAATTTATTCCCTAATATTTAATTTATTTTATTATATATGAATTATTTTGTACAAAAGTTATTTTCCAACATTCTAAGAAGCGGGTAGTATGATAATTTGCTATATACATTTTAATATTGTTGATCTAGTGGTCCCTAACTTTACCTGCACTTTTGACTAAAGTGAGAACATTTCATTCTTCATATTTTTATTTATTTCAGCCAAACTTCTCTGAGTTTACCCTAAAGACTAAATCAGTGAGGTGCATAGTGGAAGTTAAATAATTTTTAATCAACTTAAATTTTTTATCAAAAAATGCACAATTCACAACAAAAAAATGCGTAAAGGAAGCCCTCCACTTTGGCCAACTCTCTCGTAATATTTTTTGCTTTAGTGCCTTTGAATGTATGGTTTATTGTTAAAATGAGAAGAAGTTGGTCGGGAGGTGCGGTCAAATAAATACTAAGTTTTTAAAATAGTATTTTAATCATAAAATAGTATTGAAATAGTATTTAATTTATTAAAATACTATTTTAAAAATTTAGTATTTATTTTACAGCACCCCCTGACCCACTCCTTCTCATATTATATCGCTGTCAATCATCTCTACACCATTATTGTTATTGTTAAAATCATCCCGGACAGTCTGCATTATAAGCCTGCAGGTAATTGGAGTTGAATTTATAACAGTTTTTTTCTACCCATCAGTTTCGTTAATTTACATAGATATTGCAGTAGTGCTTTTTCAGTCTCCTTTCTTTATGACTATAAACAACAAAATAATGTTGATGATATAAGCTGGTCTGTCTGGGATGCAATCAGTAATTGTCATCTTTGTATTATAGTCCACTAATTAATTTTATTCGTTTTATGCGTTTATTAATATTTAATTCTTTTTTTTAGGATATTTACAACTATGTGTTCTGCCATCCTACATCCCCAGATTGTTTTGAAATTGCGACGAATTTTCCAAAACGAATACTTCAATGTGAAACCGAAGCAGACAAAACATTATTAGAGGCTGGTCTAGGAAAAAGTGAAGTGCTTTTTGTTTATGACCTCGAAGCATGAAATGCAGCTTTTCATTGCGAATATTCTGGCCCCATAATGTTTCGTAACGCAATTTTTACCATCAACTCCTGTTTCCAATCATATATAATTCCTTTTTAAAAATTATTTATTTTTTTTTTAAATATAATTTATTTATGAATGAATATATGATGTTGACCAGGATTGTATCAGAAGTATTTTAATTTTCTTAATTGCATTTGTTTTTGCACATTTCCAATAGCGATTTATTTTAATCGCTAAAATTGAGGTTTTTTTTTTCCAAAAAGAACTCCTTCAGTTTTTTGTTTTGTTTTTTAAATATATATGTATAACTGTGTATATTGTAATGTTTTTATACTAACTATTGTGATTTAACTTGTGGTATTTATTAAGTCATGGAAAGATTAAAGTTGTATGTATCTGTGCAATTTTATGTTATAAATGCATTTTCTATATATTTTTGTTCATTTTCTTTAGTGTTATTTTAGATTCCCATCTAAAGATGTGAAAGATCTCACGATACACTTTTATATTCACTAGTTATGTTTAGGTTTAATTTTAATAAAATGAATTTTTTTAGAAAATTGAAAAAAGAAGTGAATCATAGGCAATAGAATATACATTGAAACTTCTTTTACCTAGATTATAGATTCACAAAAAAATTGTGTTAACGAATCAAACAATTTTTTCTTTAAAGCATTAATTATGTCACTTTCAGAGCTTTATAAGGTTTTATTACCTTATAATCATTTTATTTTGATGTGATCTTAATAAATTGAAGCACACATCATAGATGCGTGACAGAAATCTTGAGGAGAATATTTTCTGTATTGGTATATTTGTGAATAAAATTAAATGTTATTTAAATTTATCACTTTTTTTGTATAACTGCTTAAATCTTGTTATTCCTTGCCTCCAACGTATTATTGTATATACTTTTATTCCTTCCCTTTAACATGATAGTATCTATGCTATATCAAAATTATTACCTGTCTATTTTTCTTTTGACATAGTTACCATTGGCAGTGCAAATATTAATTATTTGATATCTATTGTCTTATTTATTCTATTGAAAAACTCCAGTATTAACTTGATCTAAACTATAATGTTTGGCCTTTACAACTATTAAAATAATCACTAAAGTTTATTTAAAATTATGATACATTTATTTACTTTTCAATATTGTCTTTCAAAAGCATACGTCTTATCTTTAGTTTTAGTCAGCTTCCACCTGGTTGCCTTGGGTCTTGTGGTATCCTTCTGTTTTAGTTAGTTTGTCTTGTTTCTGTGTAGGAGTTATCAATTGATTTATTATTATGACATCAATGGCTTTCTGCTATAAAAAAATCAAGATATTTGTTTGCTTTTAATGCTAATTAGCTGAAAATATCCTGCTATTAATTTCATCATCAGCTGGTTAAGTTTTTCAAATGTGTTCATTTTTTAATAAATGGAAATTTATTAACTGAATTTATTTTATTGCTATCAATCAGCACTGTCTTGTGAAACTTCAAAATAGGTATTTGCTTATCACTGGTTGGGAGATAGTATTTATATCTATATTTTGCTACTACGAAAAATATATAAATAATTATGCTCGGAGTTGAAAATGAGGCTATTTATTAACAGTTATAGACAATATCTTCTAATCTAGATGGAATCTGGCTTCCTTTTATGTTATGGGACTATAGATATAATGAAACTAGAATATTTTCTTATATAAGAAGGAGTTGGTCGGGAGGTGCAGTCAAATAAATACTATATATTAAAATAGTATTTTATTGTTACTGCCGAAGTTTTGACCCATTTAGTAAGTCTTCATCAGGTCATCAGCATGAGACTACCAACTGCTTCCTGCAGTGCCCGATACCACGCCCTGATGAAGACCTACAAGATGGGTCGAAACGTCGGCGTAAAAAATAAAATACTATTTTATTATATAGTATTTATTTGACCGCACTTCCCGACCGACTCTTCGTATTATAACCACGGTCCACCATCTCTACACCACTATTTTTCTTATAGTACTATATCCACTACTTATCTAATTTTATATTTATACTTATAAAAGATTTTATCCCGAAATAGGTAAGGATTCTTTGATTTAAATATAGTGGTAATATAAAATAGTTTTGTATAGAACAGAGAATAGAGAAAATGATCAAAGCTGTTAATAAGAAGAACCAAAGTGGCACCACCCTGCCCGGCCGGTACCCTCACTGCTCAAGTAGCAACTGTTTTATTGAATTTACTTAAATTTTAAAACTTCTAAAAATTTATTTGATAGTTTAACACAAAATTAATAAATTCTGTACAAAAAAACAGTATCTCAAAGAAAAAAATTATCACACCAAACCACGCATTTGAGAGAGGAATAGAACAAACAAAACTGTTCCTTAAAATAATATATTAAACTGTCGGTAAATCCAGGGATGCCCATCCTCCCCAAAGTTGATGGCACATATGAATGAAAATATTTTTTTATTATCCTGGGACTGTTGTCCCTTTAGGACAAATTACAGATACAGAATAAATGCCTGTGTGGCTGGTGAATAAATGGCCATACATAAAATTAATTATTTACATTTATTATTAAGATTAAGATTTTGAAAAAATAATAAAACAAAAAATATAAATATTACACTAAAAACATTCTGATTTGTATAATACAAACTATATAATAAAATAAAATAGCATAAGTAAAGAAAATAATTTCTGGGGGAACTTTAAAAGTTCTCTTATCTACATTTCATGATCAATCGGGTTGGGAAAGGAGTAGGTGGTTAAAAAGGAGAGATTTAAATGAGGAAACTGATTGTACATGTTGGACATGGGAAGGGATGGTATTCCAGAAGGAGACGGCTTGAATTATAAAGGATTTGTCAAACGCTGCAGTTCGGTGGGGAGGTGGATAGAGGTCGGAGGTACGAGATCTAGTGAGACGGGATTGAATGGAATATTTGAATTGTAGGTTGTGAAAAATATAGGAAGCCCGCTGAGTTCTGATGACTTGGTATAGAAAAGTGGCAAGGAAGTACAAACGGCGGTTGGATGGATAGAGCCACTTCAACTTGGTGTAATACTGGGTTATATGCGTATCTCTTGAGATTCCGAAAACAAAACGTATTGCGCAGTTCATTAGGCGTTTAAGTCTGGCCTCGAATTCTCCCGAGTGTCCGCCGTACACCAGACAGCCATAGTCGAAGTGGGGGAACACAAGGGAGGAAACCAGGAGTTGAAGGGAGTTATATGGAAGGAGATAGCGGAGACAGTTAAACTGTTTCAGGGTAGAGACAGTACGATGGGAAATTTGGGAGATGTGTGGTTTCCAGGAGAGGGTTTGATCGAATATAACACCAAGGTTTTTTACGGAAGTATGGAATGAGTAACCAATTAAGGGTACTAGTTGAGAAGGAAATATTTTTAAGCTTGGTTAGGAGAATTTTGTGGTCTACTGAGTCAAAGGCTTTGGAGAAGTCAAGGAGAATAAGGATGGTGAGTTTCTGCTGGTCCATGGCTGTATGAAGGTCTTGGGAAATTTTGATGAGGGCAGACTGAGTGGAGTAGCCAGGCCGGAAACCGGACTGGTTGGGATTTAGGAGGTTATTCTGTTCTAAAAAATCTGATGCCTGGGTTTGAACTAGTCGCTCTAAAGGTTTAGAAAGATTTGAGAGGAGAGAAATTGGACGGAAATCATTGAGAGTTGACGGGTTGGAAGTCTTTTTCATAGGGCAAACTGGTGCGCCTACATATGCAAGCAAAAGTAGAATTTAAAAGGTCATAGACCATATTCCTACACTATTTACGGTCTGTTCCATGTTTTCTTTTTTGAAACTTTTTATATAAATTCATAATCCTGTCAAAATGTGCCTCAAAAATTTTTATTAAAAAAATTTTAAAATTAGGTCTCAGCAAATCTTATTAGTTGATTTGAGATAATATGGGAAACTCACTGTTCGGCAACATATTCATCTCTATTTAAACGACAGTAAAACTCAAGAATAAATTATATATATATATATATATAATTTTATATTTACAATTATATAATTGGCATGCAAATTAATAAAAGCAATCTCATATACTTGATCCTTTACTTCATTATAAGAAGTTGTTTATATGAATGTATGTTCATCTGGATTTTTATAATAAATAAGAATTATTAAATTCACTGTCCAATAAAAATGAAAACTTGTTTAACACTTTGAGTGCAGGAGCTCATTCGCGAGTTTCTACCATTATTACAGTATTACATCCTAAACTCTGCAAAGACGTCCAAAAAAAAATGGATTTCTTTTTCTTTTGTATAAATTTGTTTAAAATGCTATTTTGAGTCACCCTACAAAATCGTAGCTTTCAAAAATGTATTTTAATGTTTTTGTTCAACTTTTAAAAAAGGGATATACGTCTTCCCAGCCGCATATGACAATACAAAATTAGAGCTTATTTCTGAAAAGCAAAATAACTTAAAATTATCTTAATCATAAAAATTAAAATATTATTTCTAAAAAAAAGGACACCAATGGCGGGATCAAAATGATATATTTCTTTATATTTACAAAAAAATTTCTTACATAAAAAAGTTCCATATTGAAAATAGTGCAGTTATAACTTTTATTATTGCACTTAAATTTATTTTGAGTTTCAAAGACTTTTATATAATATGAAATATATATGGTTTTTAGGTGGATGGAAATATGATAGGACATTTTAATTCCTGTATTTTTTACATTTATTAATTTTTACTATTACATTTTAATTTTTGTATATTTTTACATTTATATACACATATAAAATGTTCAAAAGAAAAAAATATAAAATTAACTTATTAACATTTATTTGATGTATAAAACATTTTAATATAATATAAAGAAGATCATGGATATGACACAAATAACAGAGAAAGGACATGCCTTGGGTTCAGAATAAATCTGCAACTGATAGCTTCCAAATGGTCAGAATCCGGAACAACCGCACTGAGTCAGTTACAGGGGACTAATGAATGCACCAACCATGCCACAAGTCAAATGGTGAAGGCGGGAAGGCACATATCCCGGCCGTACCAATGACCCAACTCGCTACCGGGATGGCATATATCCCGTCCGTATCAGTGATCCAACTCTTAATGAGAAGGCATGCATCCCGTCCAGAATCAAAGGGTTAAATATCTTTGGTTTTATCACCACCATTTTTTCATTAATTTATTTGTTACATTTTGGCTTGCAAAAGAAAAGATATTACCAGAAATTCAACAATCACAAGAATGTATTCAATTATTTATAGTGTAATATTTCAACTATTTTTAAGTAAATATTCATGTGATTGCAAAAATACAATCGTTTATGCCTTTTGTCATATTGATGTATATAAATATTATTGAAATAGAAAAATAATTACATATTTAAAAAGTTGTTTCACCATTTGCAAATGTAAAAAAAAAAATTATTTGCACTTATATATCTTTACACCTAAATTAGTATATTTTAATTTTTAAAAATAAAACATTATTTTTACATAAATTAATAAAAACATAGCATTAAGAGCAAATTAATGCACATTCCTGTACATTTTTTATTTATTTTTTTTTTTGGCTTAATAAGCCTCAATCAATGATAAATTGTATTTGTTTATTAAAATCTAGTTAGATTTCTTCATCAATATGTCATGTGTGATGGAAATTGTCTAAATATACCTATAAAAGATAAGATAATATTGTGATACTTATTTCACTGCTTAAGTATCTTCAGTAGATTAGTTGGGAATGTCTATTTTTATCTGTTTTGAAAAATACTATGGTTGCAGTATATTTTTCTTTGGAGTATATTATTGTTATTTTTCTTCATGTATTCTAATTTGAGATTTTAAATTGCGTTAGACCAGAATAGGGAATAGATGAATTAAAAAAAATATATTTGATTAAGCAGGTCTAAGGACATTAAGTATGACCACATTAAATATTTTTCAGAGGGTTATCTGGGTGAGACTTCATGATCAGAGTATTGAATATTTTCTACTACTGATTATAACTTAACAACACAGTTTGATCTAAGGGGGGAAGGGAGTTTGGGGCTGAAACCCCTCCCCCTCCCCTAAATGGTAAAATATAACCATGTTTTATGGAAACAAATATTTAAAAATTATCTCTTAAAGTATTATTGTTCCTGTAATTACATTTAAAAGGACTTTAGGAATCACTTAAACACCATTTCATATAAATAGTTAGTTTCTTTATTTTTTTCCCAAATTAATTATCGTTATTTTTATGAAAAAAAAGCTTTCAGGCTGAAGCCCCCCTCCCAAAATTAAATCCTGGATCCACTAGTGTTTAATAATAAAGTAATATGAGTCTGATTAGGACAATTTTTGTTTGTTCTGTTGGAAGTTAATTATATTTCATATAACTTCCTAAACATTAAAAAAATAAATAAAAAATAATTGTAGATAGACTTCAAAATGCGCTCTTTTGAGCTAGAAGATTCTGAAACGTAAATATCTGTAGATAATTACATCAAAAATTTGTTGCTGTTATATTTTCATTACCTAGTAGCCATAAGAAAGTACAAAATTTTGTATGCTATATTTTTGTATATACTAATTTGGTTTTGATGTTTTATTTATTTTATAAGAAATTAAATTAGTTTTCAAATTATTATGCAGCTCACAGTTCTCTGATAATCAAAATTCTTGTTGGAACTGACATAAAAATGCAAATTTCTAATGTAGATATTTAAGTAGTAATAGTTAAGACAAACATTTTCTTTTGAGTGTAAACAGAATGAAAACCAACTGAAAATTATACAATTAGTAACATTATTAAACTCTTTCTCAGAATCATACGAGATTCTTTCATAATTCCGTTTAGAGAAAATGAGTTTCAAAATAAAAAAGAGCTGCTTATTTCATGATGAAACAACTCTTATTTTGTTTAGATTAAAAATATGTATTATACAATAAAAAAATATTCCAAATAATTTTCTTTTTCTTTTGGATGGTGCCCCCCCCCCCTGTCAATGTCAGAATACATATTATTAAAAAGAAATAATTAAAAAAATTGATGCTTTTCTATTTAATAGTGCAATAAATATTGGCTTAATTTTGTTAGGCGTTGAAGATTAAATTAAATTAGTTCAGCAGTTTATTAAAATCAGTAAGTATAATATAAAATATTGGTATAACTGTTAATAATACTGACAAGTGAAGATAACCAACAGGAGTAACCTGTAAAGAACCTCCCTAACTTTATTAATTTATATTCGTTTTCCCTAGTTTTTAATTAATCTTCTTCTCAAAATGCATGTTTCCAACCACGCCAATGACCCTAGACGACCTGATAAGGAGCACAGGTAAAAATTTAAGCCCTGAGGAGTCGATTTTATCTATCTAATTCTGTAATATGAAATGTTAGTTTTTGGGATGACTTTAATAAAACCTCAAGTGGTGATTACAGTAATAGCAAAATAAATTTTATTGAATCCCTAGTTACAATAAATAATTAAAATGCCTATTATTTAATACCAATTTTTATTATTGGGTCACCTTTTATTGATTTATTTTGTCAAAGGAGTGCTAAGAAACCTTTGAGCTTAAATTGGAAGAAGTATACAAAGTTGAGGAGCATATTTTGACTTCTTAATAAATTCTTGTTTTGACTTTATGATTGATATTTCATGTTAATCGAATTATGTATACCGTCGACTAAGTATCTTAATGTTAACATTTATATATTATTATACAGGTATAAACCTCCTGTGTCAAACCCAAATAGTGCAACAGCTGAAGATCTGACTCCAGATTACATGAATATTCTAGGAATGGTATTCAGTATGTGCGGATTAATGATGCGAGTAAGCTGGCTAACTTTTTTATTTTAGTTAATAAGTATTTTGCAAATATACTTACTCTGAGAAGTATATCTGCAAATCTGAGAAGTGTTTGTTGTTTGTAGTTTTAATATTTGTTTATTCACATTTTGATATAATCCTGGCGAGGCTCTCCTTACACCGTGTCATTCTTCATCAGATATTTTTTCTAATAAAATTTTATCTATATAAGCGTGATCAATTTATTCTACCCTACTTAGTCCAGTAAGCTTTATCATGTCTACTCCATTATCCTCAATTAATGTTAAAAGTCTCATTTTTTCCTCCTGTCCTACAATTTCCTCTTATAGAATTTATAATTATTATTTTTTTTTTTTAGCTGAAATGGTGTGCTTGGGTAGCTTTGTACTGTTCTTGTATCAGTTTTGCCAATTCTAGAGTCAATGATGAAACTAAACAGATTGTCAGCAGTTTTATGTAAGTTTATAAATTTATCCATCACATTATTTTTCACTAATATTTCATATTAGTAATAAAAAACTTGTTTGATTTTAGGTGAATTCACTTTTATCAATAATTTACTTTTTTTCCTTGCTTTCTCCCTCTCCGGCTATTCCTGGCCTAAAGGAGGTTATTCTACGAGTCCCCTATCTATTCTGGACAGACTAAGGATTGAGATTCATTCCTTGGGTCTGTCACAAAATAAATTTCAATCCCTCCTGGCTGAACGCCTAAACACTCTCACTCTCAGATTAATTGGTGAAGTTTTGAGGGTAGTAGTTCGATTTGCTATCCCAATAAGAGGCTGGTTTCAAAATTTCTTTGAGCAAATCATAGATGGAATTCTGAAAGAAACGTAGTATTGATACTGATGTTAAAATTCAATGAGAGATATATGCTGACATATTATTGCTAAAAATACACTGGGAATGATTTACTGAGAAAAAAGTTTTATTAATAATATAAAGCATCAAATATCCAAATTCTTGCAGACGAAAAATTATAGATGCTTTCTAGAAGTTTATTGTCTGGATACAGAAGGCTCAGCAAGATTCGTAGACATCTTGGCCTTTAGTGCAAAAAGAAAGGAGGCTCTTATAGTTAATCATACAATTCGATGTGAGACAAATGATGAGCAGCAAGATCTTAAAATACAAATTAAGAAGAAGGGAATATATTAAAAATGTATTCCGTACCTGAAAGAGAAATATAGAGAGAAATTTTTCGGTAGAGGGGAAATTCCTCTTCCAACTATTAGTTGTTTTGGAAAAGCTAGGTGTTAAAGGAATGAGGTACAGAGTATGGCGGAGTCCATTATTTCGGACTCCCTGAGAATCTTGCACCATCACCTCTATTAAATCTGGATATTGCTTTGTGGATCCGGGTGACAGAATTGAGAAGAATGAGGATGAGAAAAGAAAGGAAACAAAACATGACATTTTTATATATAAAGTATATCAAGCTGAATTGTTCCGATATTGTCAACCAGATAGATTAGTACGCATATCAGTTAGCAATTCAACAAACTTGAGCAGCATTATAATAAATAGTAATTCTCTCTGGTGGAAACCACACTCTGTTAGACAATTTATAGATTAATTAATTATAGAATATAGGATATGGAGGAATGCATTTAAAATTTATATTTAATTTTGATTGCAAAATTATGCATTCAAAATTTAATCTAACTGTTTTGGGCATTCATTCAATAAATTTTGTAATCAAATACAGTATTAAAGACTGCATTTATCATCACAATTCCACAAGGAATTAAAGGATTAATGCCATATTTTTTAATATTGTCTTGTTTAATGAACTATCCAAAATTATTATTTTAAAAATGATTAAATTTAAAAATGGAAATAACTCTATTCCCTCCAAAGGGAAGGTAAAAAGGTTATCTCCTTAAACATATTGGTGGTTGTTATAATATGTAGTATTATATAATGACTGTACCCATGACTATCTTCTTCTTAAATTATAATTACGGTAAATTATTAAGAAAAAAAAACATATTTTTTTGTTTCTAGGTTGTCAATTTCTGCAGTGGTGATGTCATACTTGCAAAATCCTCAACCAATGACTCCTCCTTGGGCATCTTATTAACAAATTTATTATTATAATTATTATTGTCATAAACAGAAGTATAAAGTTTTATAATAACTTATATTGTATATTATGTATTATATTTTTATAAGCTGTTCTGTGCATTTGCTTTTAGGGATGGTTACTTCTTTAAATAAACCTTATTTTTATGAGTAATTTTTTTTTTTAAATTGATATAATAGGATTTTGGTTATGACTAAATAACTTCTTTAAGGATATTTGCATAAATTGAAAAAAAAAATCTTGAAAATTTTTAAAGTGTTTATAATTGATTTAATTCAACCATAATTTGTTCATAAATAAACTTGAAACAATGCCCACTCTTATATTAGCACTAAGTAGCAGTTGTAGAAAGTTATCAAATGTTGATAAAGAAGGAAAGAAATAATAGTTCTTCTGTTTTACTAATTAAGTTAATTAATTCCAATATATTATCTGTTGATATGTGAAGAATTTAGTGACAGTGATCAAAGTGCCTAAAAATTCTTTTTTATTAAGTGCAAAATGTTATAAAAACAATTGGTGATAAGCATTCTAAACTAAGTCCAATAAAAACCTTACAGCTCAAAAGCTCTATGCTGACATGAACAATCACAACCGATTTCCCTCAATGTAATTTATTTATTTAAGATTTCACATTATTGTATAAAAATGTCAAAAAAGATTTTATTTTTTTCCTAGATTTATATTTTTCCCATCTCTTTGGCAATTTATGAATGCCATGTCAGAAGAACTGCTGCTCTTTAGTTTTGAACCAGTCATCAATCAATTTTTGTACATTTTCATAGCAAGTGAATAGGTGCATAGCAGGTGCCACATAGATGCTAATTAATTAATTATTTGAGAAGGAGTTGGTCGGGGGGAGAGAGGTCAAATGAATATTATATATTAAAATAGTATTTTATTGTTTACGCCGACATTTCAACCTACTTTGGAGGTCTTCATCAGGGCGTGGTATCGGGCACTGCAGGAAGCAGATGGTAGACTGCCAGTGTGAAATATCAAAATGGGTATCTGCTTATCAGAGGTTGGAAGATAGTGTTTATATCTATATTTTGCTACAACGAAAAATATATAAATAATTATGCTCGGAGTTGAAAATGAAGGCTATTTATAAACAGTTATAGAAAAGATCTTCTAATCTAGATAGCACCTGGCTTCCTCTGATGTTATGGAACTAAAGATATAATGGAACTAGAATATTTTATTACATAAGAAGGAGTTAGCCCACACCACTACGTCCTGATGAAGACCTACAAAGTGGGTCGAAACGTCGGTACAAACAATAAAATATTATTTTAATATATAGTATTCATTTTACCATACCCCTCCTCCCTTCCCGACCAACTCCTCACATTATAATCACAGTTGACCATTTCTACTCCATTAATTAATTATTAGCTGGACAGAGTCAAGTCTGGTGAATAAGCCCCATAACATAATATTTTCCTACTGAACGCTTCAATAGTTTCCTTCACTGATTTTGCTGTGTTTGATAAAATGAAATGAAAATATATTTTATTATTTTGGGACTGTCTCTTTAGAACAAAGTATAAGTATAAAATGCATGTCTGTCTGGTCATAAATAATTTAAATATTTACAATAGTTAATTAAAAGTAAAAATACAGAAGAGAGAGAAAAAGACAAGAAATGCATATATATATATATATATGAGACATACATAAAGGAAACTTAAATAAACAGTAATAGTCTCGGGGATACTTAGATAGTTCTCTTAGGTATATATTGTAATGAGTCGGATTGAGAAAGGAGTAGGTGTTGACAGAGGAAACTGATTGTGCGTGTCGAATATCAGCAGGGATGGAATTCTAGAGTAAGGTGGCTTGAATTGCAAAGAATTTGTCAAACGCAGCAGTTCAATGAGGAGGAGGATAGAGATCGGAAGTTCGAGATCTAGTGGGACGGGATTGGATGGAGTATTTAAATTGTAAGCTGTGAAAAATATAGGAGGGTCGCTGAGTTCTAATGATCTGATACAGAAAGGTAGCTAGGACGTACTGACAGCGATAGGATGGATAGAGCCACTTTAATTCGGTGTAATACTGGTTAATATGTGAATACTTGAGATTCCAAAAACAAAATGTAATGTGCATGTTTGATGGTTCATTATCATGAAGCAAAATCATTTTCTGTCGTCTTTTTTGATATTCTGGTCATTTTCTGTAGATAGGATTCAGTATTAACAGTTATGCCAGTATTAGCATCTCATAATAGATCACACTCTTCTCAGATCACTGATCGCACCAAACACAAAGCGTTGTTTCTTTTCATAGTGACTTAGCCTTGCAATTGATGTTGATGGATCCCCTGGGGTTACCCATGATCTTTTATGCTTAGTGTTTTCTAAATATATCTACTTTGCATCACCAAATACATTTTGATGTAGTAATGACTTTCTTTCCTACTGTCGAATAGCATTGCAAATATGGTTTACCTGCTTTCAATCAGTTCATGTGAAACCCACTTTCTTATCATGTGAATCTTTCTCATGATTTTCACACATATGGAGACAGATTTTCATGTTACATTCAATAGTTCTGCGAGTTGTGTTTGAGTGCCAATCTTCATCCAACCTGGCAAATATATTCAGCTTTACTTGATTCTTTTCTTAAATAAACATCTGATCAACTACCTGATATTAGGGTTTTATTGAAAACAAAATTATTTTCTTTGAATATCAATGTTGCCTTTTGTTACTGTTACTGTCTTGACTAAAAATGCATCATTTAGCTGTTTCTTTCAGAGTTAACTTTAAAGTTTAGAAAAACAAAATCTTTATCTAATTATGGATAATATTTTAGACAGCATCCATCTGCAGTTGTGAAATTTTGAATTTGAGAATATCGTAGGTGATAGATATTCAGGACGCAATCAGTTTTAAAGATTTTTATTGCCAAGGTTTCAACCCAAGCCTGAGGGTCATAATATAAAGGTGTAAGTAAATTAAAGTAATTGAAGGTGTAAGTAATAAAGTAATTGAACACCTTCATTCAGTGCTGGTAACAAGCCCTGATGATGACCCACAAGCTTGGGTTGAAATGATGGCAATAGAAATCTTAAAAACTGACTATTTATCATCCACGATATGTAGAACAGTCTGCTAATTATCTTCAATGAATCTGAGAATTTATTTAATTTAATGAGTTTTTATTCCAATTTTATATTGAATCACTCAATTTTCAACATCTGACATCTTCAACAATACAATTTAAAATATTCATCCACTCAGCTCATCAATTATAAAACTAACATCCATATACACATAAAAAGAAAATCCTCGAAAATACATGAACAAAACAATTGGATATACTACAACCTGTATACTTTAAATATAGAAGGAAGGGGTACAGTCCCCATAACATGATAAATTTCTAGAAAATTTTAAGCTAGAAATACTTTTGATTTCTTAGTTCGTGCAATCTCAAAAAAAAAAAAAGTTTTCATAATCTGACTGGTTATGATAAAATTTCTATAAAAACATTCTCTATAGAATATATTTATACTTGTACTCATTAAATATATTTTTTCCAACTTTATCGCGTGAAAATGGAGGTGTTCACATGAGAGGTGAATTATTATCGCTAAATATAAATAATAGGAATATTTAGGTCGTAATAAAATAGTTACGTACCTACTTATAAGCCTTGGTCTTCTTTTCTTAATTAATTTTAGCTTACATATTTTATTCATTTATGTAGCTTATTTGTTATCAATTTTAATTTTTTTTCTTCAAATTATTGGAGAAGGGGAGCGAAACAACATTCTAGCTCCCTCAACATTTTTATTACGCTTTCTAAGGCAAAAACGTTGTATTTTTATTTGAGGTTGTACACACAAAGGAATCAAACTAAAAAAAAAAATCATTTTAGCTGAAAAGTTCCAGAAATGTTATGAAGATCGTCTCCCCTCCCCTCTCTCCTATGTTTAATCTAAGCAAATATGTCATATATTCAATTGAATTTTGTAAAATATATTTTCAAGTATTTACAAAAATAAATAAAAATCCTTAGAACTATAAAAATATACAAAAAAAAAAAATAGTTTTAAATATCCAATATTATATTTGCTCATTTCACAATAATTATATAAAGTTTTTAAACATAATAAAAAAAAAAAAAAAAAAAAAGATTAATCTTACGATTAGTTCTAATTTAAGAAGTTAGACGAAAGGGTGCGGAACAAAAGTCACACAGACAATACATGAGAGTAATATTTAATGGCTGCCTACGTTTAGACCGACTTTGTATGCATTTCAGTACTTCTCAAATTCAAAGGTTATATGAAGAAATAAAACTAAAATTTCATAACAAAATGTTTATTATATAAAATATAATTATTATAAATAAAGTTCTTCAATTTTTTCTGAATTATTTACAGCATTGACTTATCCTAAATTTCAACAAACAACTTTGTTATTATCCGACATCTTATCCACAGTGGGAAATAAAATTAGCAATTATAACAGATTTTTTTAAATTTATTCAATTTACTTTCGAAGTACCTATATTTTTTAACTTTTTTGTTTAAGAGCTTGTCCAAAAAGGGAATTAAAAAGTTCATTTTTGGCTTCCTCGCTCCAAGAAAATGAAGGTACAGGTGCCATGAAGTTGACCATTTTAGTATTAACGGTAAACCTTATTTTCCTTCCTTTGGATGCCCTAGTATCTACTTTTGCCTTCATCCGACTTCTAAGCTTCTGTAATTCCAACCACTGCCTGAAATTAGAATATAACAAGTTCAAAAAAGGCCTTTATCAATATAATTTAAAAAATAAAGAGACTTTTATCAAATTTAATTACTAATTTACTGTAAGAAAAATAATTAAAAACAGAATTATAATATGGACATATATATATCACTAAGGGAGTAGATCTATTGACTCAACAAATCAAATTTAAACTAATTTAAACTACCAGCAAAATCAGCAATTTTATTCATTTCTTGCAAACTGACTGTTTAATTAGAGAAGTGTTTATTCTAAATTACATAAAATTAAATATTGAGGCGGGCAAAACACAACTTTCACTTACTGTTCAACTTTGAATAGAAATTATTTTCTGGTCATGTTAGGCTATTATAAATTTTTAGTCAAGCTAAAGCTAAAAGCTTACAGCTAACAAATAATAAATACCATTAAAATTACAAAAGTCCTATTTCTTACATCACCGGTTGATTATGGGTTGTATGATAAGTTGATTATGGATTGTACGACTATTAGTTATTAAACTATTATTTTCCATTGCAAAGTTTACTAAAACGGAATTAAGAGATTTGCATTGTATGTCATAGACAGGTCACACTAATTGGAAGTGGATACTGTTGGAATATCACAAAGGAAAAATTCATCAAATAATTCATTAATTTAATTCTCTAAAAAGTTTACATTTAATAAGAAAATTTCCTTGAAAACACGTGATTTACGTTAAATAATACTAGTTTTTAGAAATTATTATTTATATTCCAATATATAATATAGAAAGTTGTAGAAGGTAATTGAAGTGACTAAATAATAATTTCTAAAAACTAACATTATTTAACGTAAATCACGTGTTTTCAAGGAAATTAAGTGAAATTTTCTTATTAAATATAAACTTTTTAGAGAATTAAATTAATGAATAATTTGATGAAAGATCCTATACTGCCTAGAATAAATTGATATTTAATAACTAAACTAAACTACTATCAGTAAAACTAAACTGGTACTTATTTATAAATTCTAGCTATTTTTTTTTTTTTTTTTTCTGTTGGCATTAGTAGATCTTTTGCCGCATTAATAAGCCAACTCTATCTCTGCCTATCTTGGGCTCTTTCTTTCCAGTTATGTGCACGCAGATCTATTGCATCTATATTGATTTGATCAATCCATTTGTTTTTTTGGCCTGTCACCTGGTGTTTTGCCTTCTATTGAGGCATTCATTGTTGTATAGAGGCTTCCAGATGGATTGCTCCAAGCTATATGCCCTTCCATCTTAACCTCTGTGTCTTCATATCATGAGATATTGATTGACAAGTTTCTATAAACAGTTCTTTATTGGTCTTTCTTCTCCATGTGTTAGTAATCTGATCCCAGATTGCTCCGTTATCGTGCAGAGCATTTTTCTCTAAAATCTTTCAATGCCTTTATTCAAGGGCGCTGGTTAGTATCCAGGTCTCACAGCCATATAATAGAACTGGCTTTATCATAGCATTGTATACCCTTAATTTGAGATTTTCAATACCTTTGAAAGGGAGAAGTAAGTTCTGTTTATGCTTGTTATACACTGGTCTATTTCCGATTGTTGGTCATTCATTGAGGTTATTGTGGAGCCGAGGTATTTGAATTTTGCTACTCTTGGGAACGATTTCCCTTCTACACAGATCCTGTTATTAGGGTGGAATTTTCGCCTTATTCTTCTATCAGAGTCTTAGCGAGTTACTCAATGTCTTCTTGATTACTTCCAAGGACAGCTATATCATATCCATGTCCAAGGATTTTATGATTCATTACGATGTGGACTGCTCCATTTTCATGTGATGTTCTTATCACCTTATCAGTGATAAGTTAAACAACATCGGTGACAGTCCCTCCTTGCTGTAAGGATGTTGGATCTTTAAAAGCTTCTAACACTTATCATATTTAAACTTCACATTTAGGGTCATTTGTACCCACCTTTGTCAAACTATCAACTTACCAGGAACTCTCAGTTTAGTTATGATTTTCCAAACATAGTTCTTGTCCACAGAATCATAGGCTGATTCGAAATTGACAAATAGAGCGTGGACGCCCTCAGCAACTTCTCATCGTTTTTCAAGTACTTTTTTAAAGATGAAGATCTGGTCTAGGGTGCTCCTTCTTCTTCTAAATCTAGCTTAGTGGTCGCCTATTACATTTTCATAATAAGGATATATCTGGCTTGGTAGGATGATATTGGACATTATCTTATTGGCAGCCGGAAGAAGTGGTATGTCTCTGTAATCACTACATGGAACCTTTCTTTCGTAAAGGGTTAACCTCTGGTACCCTTTCCTCCTCTCACATTTTCTCGATTAGTTGCATCAACTTGGCTCTTAAGTCTTCTATCCCATCTTCAAACAGTTCTGATGGTAAGTTTGAATTCTAGGTAGTTAAACTTATAATTGCTAATAAATATATAACAAGCGAAATACTTATCTTACCAGATATTAACTTTATTATATCTTAATCATAGATACATACCTGACAGTCGAGTACTGAAGATTTTGTGTAGCAACTAGAGCAAGGAGTAGCTTTGACATGATAAATATGAATAATGTCAAGGCTACTCCTTACCCCAATTACAACACTTAACACTTGACTAGGAAGTGTAGGCACACTTTGTAATAACTTTGCCATGACAGAGGAGAAATAAAAATAAGTATTATACTTATCTGCTGTAAAAGAAACTGGTATAAATGAATAGTAGCATGAAAAAAAATAATTGCAGCTATAATGTGAGTTACTATTGTCATTCAAAAAACGTGTTTTTCGGACTCAGGGGCTCTGAAACGTATAGATCTGTCGAAAACCGTAAATCGGAAATTTGACCTGATCGCAATACTTTTCTTACCTAGTATAGGTAGGAAAGTAATAAAAATGATAACCTGATAAATTATATTCAAAGTGAACAAATTGAAAAGGACCAATTAATCATGTCAAGTCAAATCATCACTAATTTTAGAACAAAAACAAGGAAATCTTAATAAAACAGAAATTAAAGAAAAATCATTAAATTCAATAATCAGCAAAATGTTGGAAGAATTCAGAGAACCTATACTTACTTTCCTCTCTTTGAGAATTCAGATGAATCAGACGTTTTATTTTCAATAAAATCACGCAACAGCTTATGATAGAAGTCATCATCATCAAATATTTCAGGATCACATTCTTGAATGTCCTTCGTTTTAGAACCCTGAAAAGCATTAATACATCAGTGAACCAGTTCATCATTAGGAAACATAAATGAGATTTTATCATCAGTCAAAGAAATGTCAGAAAGCTAACCATACTTTGATCAATTACTGATGACTGATGAGCAAAAGAGCGAGAGTGGGGAAGCAAGAATAGAATGGAGAAGTGGAGACTACTTTTAATTTAAGGACAACAAAATGTACAAAGACAGATTTGAGATGAAGGCCGAAAAAATCAAAATTAAGGCACAGAGTTAAAAAGATACAATTTAATTTATATCGGAAACCAAAATTATGACATATCATTAAACACCTTTCCCGAAAAATTACTCGTACATGTTTGCCCCACAGTATATGAAAGTTTTTTGGTTATCATTAATAAAATATAAATACATAAGAGAAAAAATAACAATTTACTAAAGAGGTAAACCAGACATTAAAGCAGAACTTTAATTTTGAAATGTAATGAACATAAATTATAAGAAAGAAAACAATATAAAAGCTCCAAACCTATAAAATTATTACTATCCAATGCTATGCAAATGATTACTTATTTTGAACCATAGAACTATTTTCTAAAAGGCAGAATCTTCAGAACTGCTGATGCAAAATGCCTTCCAGTAATTTTTTCCTGCTCGACTCCAAAAGCATAACAACAGTGAAATAATGAATAATGAATCTCAGATACTTTTGTTTTTATTGCTTTTATTTGTATTTTATTAACATTATACTGAAAAGTAGGCACATTTCGTAATATAACCAGACATCATCATGACAACAATCAATATGAAAAATGCTTTTTTTTTTATTAAAAACAAATAATCTAAAAGGAACAATTATTAAATACAAAGCTAGAACTAGTAAATTTGAATAAATCAAGAAATTTATCATTAAAATAGATGATATATAAGATGACTTATTAACCACTTAACTGCTAACAATGCATATTGCTGACCCAAAAGAATGTAGCCGCCACGCCCCACTCCGGCCCTCAATGCTGACGTCAACTATAACCCCACTCCTGCCCTCAGTGATAACGTCAGCTATAGCCATCCCACTATTTATGTCGAATATAGCTGTGCCGACCATGCTATAACCTACTGATTTCCTAGTGAAATAAAGCTTCTAACTAGAAGCTAAAGGTGGGGTGGAGATTTATTTTGGAGCTTTTCTTTTAAAATTCATGAACTGTTATGGGTGACCTGCTATGGCCTTTCTCTGGATGTCTCGACCATTTTCATTCTTGTTTTTGAGTTCTATATGAAACAATCGTCTGTTTGACTGCTCCGAGTTTATAAAAATGTTAATTAGTTTAGTCTAGTTAGCAATTGGATTAAATAGGATTAATTTAATAACTAACATGGCCATATATAATTAATTATTTTAGTTAGAAGTTACGTCATTCTTTTTTTTTTTTCAGATCGGCTTTAATGCAATCTTCCCACCTCCGCTTCGGTCAACCCCTCGGACACATACCATTCGGCACAGCAAATATTAACGTTTTAGGAATTCTCTCGATACTAAGCCCAACAACTTTACAAGCCCATTTGATTCGCCGCGATGAAATTACCTCAATTATATTACCCGGATACAGTTCACACAATTCGGCGTTGTGTAACCGTCTGAACTCTCCGGTTAACTCATCCTTCTTCGGTCCGAATATTCTACGCAATACTTTATTTTCAAAAACCTTAAGACGCTGCTCATCCCTTAATGTAAGTGGCCAGGTTTCGCATCCATAAAGAACTGTAGGCAAGATAATTATTTTATAGATTCTAATTTTTAAGTTCCAGGACAACGGCGCGAACTAAGTAGTTTTGTCACAGAAAAATAACAAGCGAGGATCATCGCGAATCTATAAGAACATTTTGGCGAAAAGTTAAGATGTTGAGAGGAAAACAAGCCTATTAGAAATGTAAAAGGTAGCGATGGAATCCTAATTACAGACAAGGAAAAGATCCTTGGCAGATGGAAGGAATATTTCCAAGAACAATTCTCCGAAAATTCAGAAACAGACCATTACCAAGAACAAGAGCCCAATATTCAAGAAAGCCTGGAGGTTATAGAGGAAGAAGAAATAGAAAATGCAATCCATAAGCTAAAAAGAGGTAAGGCATCAGGAAGGGATGGAATCGCATCAGAATATTTAAAATTCGGTGGTCAAGAACTTCTTAAAGCACTACAATCGCTGTTCCAAGAAGTATATGACAGAAAGAAAATTCCCATGGATTGGGAATATTGCATAATCCTCCCTATTTATAAAAAAGGATGCACGACAGATTGCAAAAATTATAGACCCATTAGTCTGCTTCAGTGGTCTATAAACTCTATAAACTCGCAATGGCGAGACACTTGAGGTGGTGACTGAATATACCAACCTGGGGACCGTAATTAGTAGTTCGGGTAAGATAGACGCTGAAATATCAAGTAGAATATGTAAGGCGTATCAGGTGTATTACCAGACTACTAATAGCATTATTGGACATCGCGAAGTAGACAAGAAGACCAAAATGCACGTATATAAGTCTGTTTACCTACCTACACTCACCTACGGCAGAGAAAGCTGGACAATGCTAGACAGGCACTCTAGTCGCATAACGGCAGCAGAAATGAGGTTCCTTCGCAGATCGGTTGGCAGAACTAGAAGGGATCGCATTAGGAATGAAAGCATTAGAGAGCAGCTAGGAGTTGCCGAACTTAAAACTACTCTAGAAAGACGGCAAACTCCAGTTGGACACGTCTGCCGCATGAATGAGAATTTGAATCCTATAAGGATATTAGAGGCTAGACCCACAGGAAGGAGACCACGTGGACACCCAAGAATCACGTTCCAGGAGTAACGTTCACGTTGGATGTAAAAAATGCAAAACCCTTAATGAGATGAAGCGGCTAAGCAGGGACCGGGAAGAGTGGTTGCACTGGTTGAGGCTCCTCGACGCTAACTAATGGCATAAGAGGAAGACAAAGAAGAAGAAAGATAACAAGCATTTCCCACCTTGAGTCTGACCTTAATCTCTTCTTCAATTTCGTTCTTTCTAGTTATCGTAGAACCTAGATACCTAAACTTATCTACCTGTTCAAACATATTACCATCTATATCGATATCACCGGTAGTATCGCCATTTTTGCAGCTAACCATATATTTTGTTTTATCCACATTTATTTCGAGTCCTAGTTCTTTACCGGCTTTCATTAACGTTGTCGTATTTAGTTTTATAGTTTCAACATCTTCGCTTAACAGTACCAGATCATCAGCATAGCCCAGCACGGATGTTGTCCCACCCAGATCCAACCCTTTCTCGGTACGCATTACCTCCATAATGGCATGTTCTAATGCCAAATTGAACAGGACAGGCGAACGGGAATCCCCCTGTTTTAAACCCGAACGCACCTCACATTTTTCGGACAGATTATTACCGATTCTAACCTTATTGTGTCTCTGTCAAGCATATCCTGACTAGATTTACTAGTTTTTTTGGAATTAGATTAATATATATAATTAGATTCAGATTAATATATAGAAGTCATAAATGAAAATATGATTATACCTCTTTTGAAGCTTCATCGGACACTGCTTTACTTTTACCGAGGACTTGATAATCTGATTTTTTGATTTGTGTTCTTTTTAAAAGTCTTGAGCGGTCTAATAAAATTTCTTCTATTTGTTTCAAAGTAGGTTGATCAAATGCTGAAAAGTCTGATTTACTCATTCTTCCGTAAGACAATTTGGTTTTTTCATTCCATTTCTGAATTACATTATCTTTAAATGGCTTGAAGTCTTCATGAATTACTTGTAGGAAATCCTCACTCCTTATTTTTTTCTCTTCGGGTTCTTCAAGTCCAGATGGATCACTTTTTCTTTTCATGTTCCTGAAAAAATAATCTAAAATTAACATAAGTAATGGAATAATTATATAAAATATTGATCTTGGTATCCTTACTTTATTTCTCTATACTCAGGAGCTGCATTTAGTGCTACATCCTAAAATTTTAAAATATTAGTAACAGAAATCAACTAAAATAGAATAATATATTATTATCAAATATTTTAATTAAATCATTCAAAAATAAAATACCTGAAGTTCAAGCAGCCCTTTCATTAATTTGCTTAAAACTGAGTAAGTTTGAGATAAAATTTCTTCCTCTTCTGAATTTAACTGATTCTTAAACTCTTTCAATGCCTCACGCTGGTATAACTTATTAGTATTGATTAAAGCAGGTTGCAATTTTATACGACATTCAATCAGTTTTTCCCAAATAGCTGGAATTCATAAACATCCAAGATTAAATTAAGTATGTTGCATAAGGAAATAGCAATACTCTCTTCCAAGAAAAAATCATTTTGTGACTAATTAATTTTTAGGTTTTATGGTAAAAATATATATTTATATAAAAGTGTGTGAGCAGGGTGACTACGAAAAAGTTAAAGTGAAATTCCCTGACATTAACCTATTTAATGAAAGTTTTCCTGACCAATATATGTCGGGGGACACAAACATTAATACTATACAATTTTTAACTAACTTCTCTTCTATATATATCTACGACAATCAACTATCAATCCACTTTTATAACTAAATTTATTTATTATACATGAATGAAAGTGACAGTCAGCTCTCCACGAAGGTTACAATGACAAAGTTTATCCCATTTAAGGTTATCTAAACTATATAGAATGTATATTTATTTCCAATTTGGAAACAAATATTTATACACTGGAAAAATTCCCTGACTTTAACATTTTTTCTAGGTCAAATGCCAGCTTGGTAAGATTCTTAAAGAATAATTTTAGAGAAACTTAAAATAAACAAAGATAAGTTCGTCGGATTACCACGGCTTTACTGTGAATCGTATATCAGTTTTTCACAATGAAAATAAATATAAATGAATTTCATCTTATATTAATTGTTAATTAAAATATACTTATTAGCTTCTTTGAAATTCTTCCAAAAAAAAACAACAAGATTTAATATTGTCTCAACATAATAATACATACTCTGAAAACATGAAATCCCTGATTTTATATTATAAACAGCTCAAAGTCGCAGGATGATCATGTTGGTACTTAAATGTTTAAGCCTAGGATATTGTTTATAGTCAATCTTGTGAAATGGATAATCATTAATTAATTATGTAAATAAAATGACTAACGCGAAGTTCAACGTAAATGTTTTACAAAAACAATTAATCAATAACTAATTTAGGATTAATACAACATTAAGATCATATTTAAAATTTCCTTTTCTATAGAGTTATACAGTAAAACTGAATTTCTCCGATTACATATTTCATAAAAAACATTATAAATATTGTATTTCAGGAATCTCAAACCTGATGAATGATTAATACATATATGTTTCCAGACTTAAATAAAAAAGCATGGATGTTGACTTTTTTGTTTAAATGTAATACTTACTCGACTGATTACGAATTGAGTTTCCTTTCTCAATATCACTTTTAATGTCTCTGGCTTGAGCTGAGAAGATGTTAATATTTTGGGAGTCATCTTCGGATTCAGCTTCTTCTTCTCCATCAGAACTGAAAAGAAAGAAAATAATACTAAAAAAAATAACTCAAAGGAACTTTGGAACTCTGAGATAAAAGTATGTGTTTATGCCAAAGTTCATCTATAAAGCTATGCTTCATGGATCTAATGAGTAACTGATAAACTATATTACCTCCAATTCTATATTTAATAAATAAAACTATTTGGGCCGTGCAAATAATCCGCAAAGATTGGTCAGTGAACAAATAACAAAGAAAAAGAATAAATAATGCAAAATATTATAAAGAAATCATTTCCTATTTTTTCAGTAATTGTAACCAACCAAGGAAAAAAATTATTATAAGACTTCCTTTTCATGCTTAAAATCAAAATGTTTACGAATTACATTAGCCTGTATCTCAACTAATAATGGTTTAAATATGATGATTTTTTTTTTGTTATGTAGGAAATTTAGTAATCTTTCAAATAATGATGGGTATAACTCAGAAAAATGTATATAGTTTTTGAGTAATTTGCAAATAAAGTTTCTTTTCCTTCATAACTTTTTTTCCTGACTATTTTTCCCGCCTGAAGGAGAAGATCTTAAAAATGAGGGGTCAATCATTGGAATTTATGAAGAATTAAAGAACATATGGTATCCCAACAAAAAAAATCATTGAAAAATAATATATATAGACGATATGCAGAGGAAATCGGCAGGAAATTATATTAAATATCCATGAACATATCTAGAGACAGTTCTTTAAGTGGAGTAGACAATATAGCAGCCTAAAAATGATAAATGATATTCTCATACCACCTCAGGCAAAAGGTTATTCAAAATTCAAATTATACATTCTTAAGACAAAGTATACAATACAATGATATTGCAATGTGATTTTCTCTCTCTTTTATTTCTCTAAACCTGTAAATATCATATCAACTCAATTATTCTATATGTTCCTCGCATTATTCTTTATAAGAAAGTCGCAGAAATGTAGGGTAAGTTGAAGCCTGGTAGATGGATTCTCAATCCAAAACAGTTCAACACAGGCATGTAAATTAAGTAGTGCTATTTGTTATCTCTTATACTTAACGATATTCGATCTCCCACAAAAAATTTGGTAAGTTTTTTTTGGTAAAATTAGTAATTTTTTTTCCCTCTCGTTTTAGGCTGTACAGGGTTTTCCTGGGCCAGTGGGTGAGGGTGGGGGATTAATACCAGAGTTAAAAGTCACCCCTGGCACCATGACGTTAACTCAAAATTATATTATCTTCTATAACTTTGGTTATCATATTGAAGGTAAACGCATGGAGCTGTGCAAACGTGTTAGCCCACTCGTCACCTCTCCCTTGGTCAAATTAGTACCGTAACATGGTCAGTATTTTTCTTGGGACAGAAAGGCATAGTTAGAAAAATAAGAGATGGTGATATGAACCTTACTAATAAGTCCCATTCATGGCTCCTCATATTTGTGTTGAGTGAAACATAAATGACAGATCCTATAAATTAAAATTAATGAATAAAAAACAAAATATATGCTGGTGGGGGGGGAGGGGATACTTGTGACTTAGCCAGTCGCCACGGAACTTATCTTCTTATCACTCATCTCTTCTAGTTACTTATACATTTGTCTCTTTAATCAATTGTTTTTTTGTTATTTTCTATCTAATATGAATAAAATAACACTTTGGCAGAAAAGCAACAACTAAAAACAAAAAAAATTTGAGGGCCTGAAAAAGTAGTTGAAATAGATAGAAAGTCTTCTTTCTAAAAGAAAAATCATGTAGGGAGAGTGCTCTCAGAACAATGGATGTTCGTTGGAGTTTATTGAAAAACAGACGAGTGTTTCATTATAAAAATAAAAGGCAGAAAAGCAACAGCTCTATTAGAATGTATTTAAAATAATATAGACGAGAGAATCACTAAATATTCCGAATGTTGGAAAGGATGCAACAGCCAATAGCTAAATGAAGCAAACTATAACTATTTCCAGGTGAATCACTGGTATAACTTTGCCGATCCTTCAAGTGGGGTCCATACTCAACATATAGAATGATTATGGGGTTCAACTAAGTGGAGAAATGAAAAACATTGAGGAACTGCGAGGCAACACCTGGATTTAGACTCATGTGAATATTTGTGACAGCGGATCCATAGAGAAAAGGACCTGTTCCTCGCTATTATGAATAGCGTTTCGCTATTTTGTCTCCTAAAATAAATAAAATGTTGTAAAATAAAATTGTATTGTTATTATTACATTTGTTTTTATCTATTTCAATTTCCATAAATATAACTAAGAAGGTAGGTATTATCAGTATCAGAATAATCAATGTTCAGGTTATAAACAATGGCGGTTAGCAGTCTGTGGCGACCGGCTAAGTACTGAGTTTTGCAAGTCCTCACGGGACATGGAGGCTTTCGGGCCAAACTGCACAGTTTTGGTAAGAACTTTGAGCCCCTGTGTCTCAGGTGCCATGTTCCAGAAACTGCCGAAAACGTAGTAACGACCTGCACTGTATTCGAAGGACTTATGGACAATTTATGGAGGAAAATGGGATTGTACGTCATGACAGATGATTTCCCCTCCCTCATGCAACAAGAGAACTCGATTTTCAAATAATTCATATAGGGGTGGAAGTCTGCTGCGGGACCGGAACACTTTAACCTTTGTGCCCCTAGATGAAAAGAGGAGGCGGCAGAAGGCAATCCAGAATGAAGATGTGGACTTCAGTTGAAGCACTACTAAGTCACTAAGGTAGCTTGATAAATTATTTATTATGCTACTCTTACCAAAACCTGTATTGCCGTAAGGTAAGGTAGGGTGAAAATAAATAAATAAATTGGTGGAGAATGGCACTGAATTTATGAAATATCAAAACCTCAAGACACCAAAAATAATCAAAATGAACAGAATAAAAATAAATTTATGTAAGACACTGATATGGCCCATTGCTGACCAATAGCTCAGAAGCTTGGTCTATGACCAAGACAGATGAAAGAAAACTTCTAACATTTGAATGAAGGATCCTCCAGAAAAGCTTTAAGCCTGTTAAATAGAGGAATATATGGTATAGTAGGAAAAATTGAGAACTTCAGGAGATCTACAGCGAGGTGGGTATAATCAAGTTCATTAAGATTAGAAGATTACACTGGGCTGGCCTTATCTCTTGAATGGATGATTCTGGGATTTCTAAACTACTAATTTCAGAGGAACTGTACAGGACAAGAAGAATGGAAAGACCTAGGGCAAGGTAGCTTGACAGAGTGTTTGTGGATGCAAGAGACCACCTCCTACAAATCCAGGCCTGGACAACTGGTGGAGGCTTTTGGAGGCGGCATAGATCCAGTCATAGGTTGTTGCGCTATATATGATGATGATGATGATATTAAATATGAATTCATGAAACAGAAAAGAAAAAAAAAAAAGACAACTATGTATGCATAAAATTGAATGAAAGAAAGGGTTCATTTAGTAGACAAATTTAAAATATAACAAAAGTTTTGTCATTTTAAATAAATTCCTATAGATCAAATCTGTCAAAATTATCAGTTGTATATAATATTCTCCTTACCGTTTTGATTCCTCTTCAAAGCCAGTAATAGATCCTCCATAATCACTAGAATCATCTTCATCCTCCTCACTCAGATCACCTTCATCCTCCTCACTCAGATCACCTTCATTCTCCTCACTCAGATCACCTTCATTCTCCTCACTCAGATCATCTTCATTCTCCTCACTCAAACCACCTTCATCCTCCTCACTCAGATCACCTTCATCATTACTATCAATATCTTCATTGTTTCCTTCATTATCATCATCTTCCTCATAACGGAGAGACCCGTTACGGCTGTCACTAGAAAAGAATTTGCGAACATAAATAATAAGACACATAATATTCTTGTAAACATAATTAAAAGTTAAAAAATTAATTAATAACTAAAGTGGCGCGGTTGACAGTTGTCACCCACCTGCCATTATTTAAGAGTTATTCTGTTTCCATAACCCCCACCATTCCGTCCCTTCCAGTATCTTTCAAGAAAACGTGAATTGAATGAAAGATTAAATTGAACAAGACGAAAATTTTAAGTATACAGAGTAAAGAAATAATTGAAAAAACGATGTCATTTATTTGATAAATTTGGGGTACATTTTCAATCCGTAAAATAAAACTATTGATATGAGCTGTAGCTCATAGACTGATCAGAAATAAAGCACAATTGAAAACTTCCCATATTCAAATGACATCAAGCTTTTTTTTTTTTTTTGATAAACATGATTTTCATAACTTTTAATAAGTATCAACAGCAAAGTATGTTATATACATGTAATTAGTATCAGAAATCATAATTAAACAAAAAATTATGTTTTCATAAAAAATTAAGAAGGCAAATACTTTTTTTTCAAGAGTTTCATCACAGCTTCTGGAAAACTGGCGGCAGAGTTCCTTCTCCTTCGGGTTTTGCTTCACTAGTGGATACTTCTCGCTTCCTTTTTTCAAAATTCTTCCCAATTTCGTATTTTACTTAGACGTCTTCTGTAAGCACTGAAACCTTTGATTACACGTGTTTGTGTTGTTATAACTACCTATCGATTGTAGGTTAAAATTTCAAGGAGGTACGAATGATGCAGAACCTCCTACCTAATACTGTTGGAAGCTAAAAATGACAAGTTACTGTTCCATTTGGGAAAATATTCATGTTGGAACATTATTGTATCCATTATAAGCAAAAGTCACAGGCAATCAGCAAATTTATTATAGTTAATATTGTAAAACATTATATGATAGAAGATAATTCAAAGACGATGGAGGTATCCCAATCCAAAAAAAAAAAAAAATCAGTTTTCCATATTGTACATATGTATGCCTTTAAAAATAATGATTTAAGCAACAAGTTACTTGTCGATCGATTCGTAGAATTAGCACATAAGTGTAAATTACGTTATTTAAATATGTTATACTTCATTATATAAATATGTACACCTTCTGACTAGTATTTCAGTTTTGTTCCCTACGAGTATGGATGAATCCGGTCATTGTCACAACAGTTTTATTGAAGCTATAATTAGATTGAATAAGAAGAAAATTCCAAGTGTGCAGAGTATGGAAATAATTGAAAAAATATGCCTTTCATTTGATAAATTTTGGGCACATTTTCAATTAGTAAAAAAAATACTAATATGGGCTGTAGCACATAGACTGGTTAGAAACCATGCACAATTGAAAACTTTCCACATTCAAATGTAATTAAGCCTTTTTTATAATAATAAACATGATTTCAATAACTTTTAATAAGTATCAACAGTTAAGTAGGTTATATACATATAATTAGTGTCAGAAATCATAATTGAATATTTAATAGTTGACCGTTACATTATAAAGGAAGGAGATGGCCCGGGGTAGCGGTCATAAATAGGCTAAATAGTGGCAAAACTATTTTATTAAAAGCCAACGTTTCGACCCGATTTTGCAGGTCTTCTTCAGGGCTAGAATGGACAAGGTACAAACAGATAGAGAATTGTGGAAGTTACATAATATTTAGACAAGAAATTATAAACAATGTGAATAAGCTTATTACAATTATAAACAGTAAGTTCATTATTTTAATGTTTAGTAAATTATTGAAAGAGTATCTTACTGTTAACAGTCTAGTGTAAGCGGTATCAACACAATATTGCCTCTGGGATTTATATATGTGCTCCTTTAGCAATGATTTCTATCACTACACTTATAAGGCAATTCCAACCTAGCTTAGTGCAGCGGAGTTCGGTCAAAATACACGTATCCGCGTATCTTTGGCGTATCGAAGAATATTTATTGTACTGCCTACAGTTGAGCAATGGATTCTAACACAGCCGATTTTTTCTAAAATTCTTTATTCTTATTACTATTCTTTACGGTTTCGATTCCTCTCCAAAGCCAGTAATAGATCTTCTGTAACCGCTAGAATCATCTCCATCCTCATCATTCTGATCACTTTCATCATTGCTATCAATCCCATCCTCATTGTTTCCTTCATTATCATCATCTTCCTCATTGCTTTCTATCTCAACCTCACTGTTTCCATAAAGGAATATAAGATAATAAATATCATGTTCGTCATTGCTATCAACCTTATCCTCAATTCCTTCAATATTATCACCTTCGTCATTGCTATGAACATCACTTTCACTCCCGTCAGTATTATCACCTTCAACATCTAAATTATCGAACTCTTCTTCAAGACTTGTAGTATCGTCATCATCATGATCAGATTCATTTACACTTAGATGTGGCTTCACTTTGTCGTTTACACTACTTTTAAACAAGCTTTTTCTGGAAATAGGTTTTCCAGGATAAGCCACTTGAATATCAGCTTCCATATATGCATGCCTTCTAAGAGAAGCAGGTTTATTATCTTAATGATCCTCATTCTGAAATACTGAGGCATCCGTTATAGCTATCACTAGAAAAGAATTTGCGAACATAAATAATAAGACACATAATAGGCTGATAAACATAATAAAAAGTTAATTATTAAGAATTAAACATAAGTGACAATTCTTTACTATCAATTTCTTCTTCAGGATCAACAACATCTGTATTTTTAGGCTTTAAGGCAGTCTTAATTTCTTTAATTAATACCATAGCAGAATTATGTTCCAATACGAATATACTTTCAACTAGTGTTACCGTTTTTATGAGGATCCTGGTATTTGTAGGAGATTATGATGTAATGTACGAAGTAGGAAGATCAACTACCTCCTACATAATTTTTACTGTATTATAATTTATATTGATATGAAATACTGAACTTCTATTGCTTTCTAGACTAATAAATTGCAATTATATCTTCCTTAATTAGAATAAGATTATTATTTCCTTCATAAAACCATGATTGTATACATATATATTTTTTTTATCAAGTATAAAATAAAATATAAGAAACTATACCCATTATTTCATTCATAAAACTTTTTTTGTAGACATATATGTTTTTAAATGTGTTGTAAAAGAAAATTAAAAAGAAATTTTTACCATCATTTTTATCCAGCATAAAATAAAATACCATAAAGTATATCCATTATTTCCTTCATAATTATTATTTCCTTCATAAAACTGCAAGTGTAAATATATTCTAGATAATTTTTTTTTTTTTTAAATTGTTACCCTAATTTAAAAAAAAATATTTTCGATTTTTAATCAAGTAATTAATTGAAAAATTAACTAGTATTCATAATGAACCCATCTTAAATAAGGAAAAAAAAAGTATATATTTAATGGTCCACATTTGTTTTGTATGAGATCTAATTGTAATCTAAAGACTGAAACAATCACAATCTATTCATTTTTATATTATAATGCACTAGTGGATCCAAGATTTAATTTTTGGGGGGAGGGGCTTCAGCCTTAAAGCTTTTTTTTTTTTTTTTTTTTATAAAAATAACGATAATTACTTTACTAAGCTAATTTTACTTCTTGAGCCATTAGCTTAAAAAAAAGAAATGTAGAAAGGCTTTAAAATATATGAATAGAGCTAAAAATAAAAAGCTCTGATCTAATTTTAGTATAAAAAACATCTTATGAGTTATTTTTGTTATGTTGTTTCTCCTTTCCTTAATTTTGACAATCTGGGTGTTAATAAGCAGCCGCCAATGTTTCCAATAAATATCATGTTCACATATTGTTCAAGGAAGGATATCTGTTCTTTCATGAGAAGCTGCCTGGTAGACTTTTCCTCCCCCCCCCAAAAAAACAAGATTTACTCCAATATACATATACATAGGGGCCTTAGACATTTTGGTTTCATCTCCTTCCATCCAATATTTCGAAAAATAGAAAATAAATCGAAATCAATAATAATTAATCTACATGAATGAATAAAATATATAAACTAAAATCAATTAAAGAAATAGGAAAAGGCAACTAGATGGTTAAGGTAAGGCCTAGAGTTAGGTATGCAAATATTTTACCACACCCTATGTTCCTATTATTTATATTTTAGATTATATTCAAAGATGATATGTATTTACATATTCTAGGATTTTATGATTCATTCATACGCATGCTTTCATATTTACATGAAGATTTTATTACATTTCCCTGAACAAATTTGAAGTTGGAGAATTGAGAGTTCATCTCACTATTTCAAACCTTTAAATAAAAAAAAAGTAATATATTCAATTGCTTTGTAAACATATTTTTGAATATACTAGTAAAAAAAAACACAACCAAAATGGAAAATCTGTGTCAATGAACTTCTGCAACTCTTAAGTTCAAAATAGCTTTCTCCATTTAAAAGTCAAGATCAAGAGAAAATTGATACACTTAATGACATTCAATATATAAAAATGTAATAACTAGTTAAAGAAACAATGATTATTGGTTTCTTCCAATGCCCATTATAATAAGAAGCAATTTAAAAGAGACCAGGAAATTAAAATGATCAAATGTCTGCGTTATTCTTGAAGCTGGATTGATTTGCATAAAATATTGAACTGGTTATAGAATGTTTACACAGGTGATGATATACCAACAATCAATGAACCATTCTAATAGGAACAGGAAGGAGTTTTCAGCAACAATAAGTTCCATCCTGTCATCAGGCAACCACACCTGTAAAAAAATGCTCCCCAATCATTCGGAGACCTCAGAAGCTTCATGAGACACTATTTTACTTTTATTTTTGGGAATGATATTTGAGGAAATGGGCAGGTAAGAAATTTATTTTATTAGAAGAAACAAACTATAGTTGAATCAACAAACATTGACAACCAGTCATATTTTTACTCTTAATTAATGAAAGTTAATTTATAAAATCAAATATAGAAATATGGAGGCAAAGAGTTGGGAAAAATTAATCTGGTAAATTATGAATATCAATTTAATTTAAGAATTACTGATGATTTCATTCTACAATGATCCTTAAGTGAAAAAAAAGTTGCAACTCCAATATTAATAGAATACATTTTTTAAACGAATAAGTCTGTTAATTTAAACACTTGTTTTTGTTTGTTCCCATATATACAACAGTTTACAATGCTTAACGTGTTTCCACTAAATAATTTTCTTTGCAGGGTATTGTTTATATAACAAAAATCATTAACAGTAAATAATACTATCATTAAACTTTTACATAGCTAAGCGCTAATTCATTCGGAATAAAGATACATTAATCTTTATATATTTTCATACAATTTTTATATATATTTTTTTCGTTAATTATAAGCCCTTTTTTTTCAAATTCATTGTTTTCTTGTATGAAAAAGTTCAGTTGGAAAAGAATTACAACTGTAATTTATAAGAAAACGAACTTTTGAGCATAATTTAACATTAATATAAATATAATCTCATTCATATAAAATAAATGGTACAGGGCTAAAACAAAAAAAATGAGAGAAAAAAAAATCAAAATTAATTATTGACGTACACCATATATTTAAAGGAAAAATAATGTAACGATTTGATATTTATTAGAATGATGCCCAAAATAAAATTACAATAAAGATGCTAGGGTAAATACGCTAATAGCTGACATGTTTAAGGAAATTTCTTTGAACTTTTACTTGTAAAAACTTAAATATTGATGTTACTATATTTTTCATGGATTCATCTTATAGAAATATTTCTCACCTTACCAAGACATTTTTCAAATCCATTAAAAATTTACCTAAATTTTTAAAAATTGAACATTAAGAGAATAGTTTTGTTGTACTAATAGCTGACACTGTTTGAAAATTTTCCTATAGTTGACAGAGATGATAAAAAGGATTCAACTAAAGTTGATTTCATATTCTTCACTTCAAGATTAACAAAAATCACCTCTAACTTATTATGAAACTAAGTTCTTACATTTCCCGACTTAAATTTATCAATAAATGCTGGTCACTGTCAAGAATCTGTTTTTGGCAATATGAAAACCTATATTTGCTTTATATTTAATCCAAATCATTAACAATTTTTTTTGTAACGAGACAGTAGTGAATGGTATCATTTTTAAGACTCATTGCATTGAGTACATCTCTTTGAATTAATGAGAGTACATACTTTTGGCAGTTGTTAACAGGCAAACTATTGCCAAAAGTCCCCATTACAAGGTTCCAATAGCTGACACCCATTAAATACCAAATTCCTTCATCAAGATAAGTTAAAAACAGATAAATCATAATTTAAAAACACACAAAAAAAAACAATCAAAGAAAAATTTGGGACAAATCTGAATAGTTAAAGAGAAAAAGGCACACCTAAGGTATGGTGCTCTTACTGACATGGTTGTTCCTGGAACACAAAGTGGACTGTGAGGGATCTTCCTAATTTGCCACTCATTACTTTAGTTGCTATTTCCGGCAAGACTTAAGCAAAGCTGTCAAAAATACAAGGAGAAAATACATAAATTAAAAATATAGGTCTAGGTGATCCTAAAATTTTATTATTCCCATTTTTCGAGGAGGGTGCCAGGTATTACTACACTGTCAGCTATTAGTGATTATACCCTACAGCAGTTGCCAGGCAACTAAGATCAAAATAATTTTTTTTTTTTTTTAAAGTACTGGTTGCTAAGTAGTGGTTGTCAAAACAAACAGATGTTTTTATTTTAAGAGTTTTTACATTTAGTTTACTTACTTAGTTACTAGTTAGGTATTATATATGCTAGTAGTTTTACTTTAGTTATCTTCTTTTTTATCTAATATAAAGTTTAACTTTAAAAAGAACTACTTAGAGTATGATACTGATCAATCATAGTTTTTTGAAAGTATGGTATTGTCATATAATATTTTGTTTCTTTATAAGATAACATTGAATATCCATAAATTTCAGGCAATAAAATTTCCATGTTGGTGTAAAGTGAACAAATAGAAAGAAATTGCTAGTACAGTTTGAAATTTAAACTGTTTTATTAGTGGTTAACAGCAATCAAAACAAAAAATGTCAGTAGAATTTTTGATGTTCGACAAGTATTTGGTTGCAAGATGAAATGGTTTCTAATACCCTTTTTCAAGTTCATACTCAGCTCAAAATAGAAGTGAATGGAAATTTCCTAAACTTAGAAAATTCAACTCATTCTGACACTCTGAGGTGTGGTACGCCTCAAAAATTGAATATTTGTCATGCTCTGAAAGACTCAAATACATTTCAGAAATAAGCTAAACAATCAGGAAAACAAAAAAGTAAATAAATTCAAGGTAACCTAAGAGAATATATTTTATATGCTAACATAAAATAAAAAATTAACAATTACATCACTAAAAAATAAAAAAAGGATTAATATTTTTCTATTGAAAATACATTAAGTTTATTTCAATTAAATATATATATTTGGAGTATAAAATATATACATAATAAAGGAAAAAAATATTTTTTTACTTAAAAAGATAATAAAATCTAGAGTGGGCGCCATTCGTGTGACCATTTACTCACAACAATCCAAGCAAACCTATATTTATTTATACCCTGTATTTATTGCAGATAGATCTCTTACATTGCTGACAAACCATTTTTGTCTTGATATCTTTCTCTCTAGTGAAAAACAAATATTTGGCTTATTTTTCCAACAGTGTTCATTTATTTTATAATTCCCAAAATTTCTTTTAAGTTGTAACACACCGTTTATGTGAGTGTCTCCACTTTCAGTCTTCTTTTCAAAGCAAATTAATAATTTCTCCATTTCATCTTCTTTGCCCAGTTAACTAAGCTGAACAATATCATGCTGTTTAAACCAACATAATTCAACATTCCAAAGAACAATCGCAAAGACAGCCTCCTTTTTTTTCTTGCTGTTAACACACTTGACACATTTGATCAAATGTTACTGTGCCATATTTATTTAATATGCTCCATCCATCTTTTCTTTATCTTCTAATTCCCATAAAAATTTACGGATTTCTTCAGGTGAAGAATACATTTTTTTGGTAGTTGCCATACTAAAAAAATAGTTTCTATTCCTTACTGCCTGAATTGAAAATAAAACTAATTAACAAATATAACATTAGAAATGCACATCTGAATTATTCGAAGTTTCAAAATAACAAAGAAAACACTGGGATACCAAAATCAAAGAACAGTTCCAGGGACAGCACACGGGTGAGTGAGGCACCCAGGAGAGTTACGTAAACAACACACTGGGATGTGGGATACCCCATAATGGCTTTTGATAGCATCCAATAATGATATAAGCCCAACAATGGTGTGCTAATGTCTGTAATTAGCTGGGCTATGTTTGATGTTTATTTACATGAAAAAACATGGCCAAAGAGCTATTTATATAAAAGTAAATTAATATTGAAAATGTAGTGAGGTGCGTCGTTCTAGAGTCAATTTCTTCAATCAGGTCACACCTATTTCTTCTAAATTAGTTTCTTAAAATGGTGATATACTAACAACAATGAACCTATCCTAATCCTAATCCTCTTTGTCAATTTTTTTTTTTTACTAAGTGTTTCTGTCCCACCTAGCCTTCCCTTTATCTTTAAGATAAGTAGTATAAAAAAAATTGTTGGATCCTCGCAATTTATTGGCTAAATAAAATCTAATTTTTATTTTTTCACTTAAGCCTAATTCTAAGAATAGCCTGCATTACTGTATTTTTGTACTAATGATGGTGATCTCAATGTCAGACAAAATTCAAATCACTTTCCTCTTTCAACTTTTTTGAATTTTTTAAATAAATTTATTTTTTAACTAAAAAAAAAATCAGACCTATTATTATTATTAATTAAAATCAGTGTTTTCATGAATTTAATAAACCAAATTACTAAATTTGTAAATATAAATATCTGCACTGTAATAAAACATTATTTTGGTTTAGTAATGACAGGGTTAGTCATGACAACAGCTTTCCAAATATAGTGCAAATAGATGTATGATTTGAAGCACCTAATTATAGTAAATAGTTATGGTAACGACAAATAAAACTGTATAAATTTGTATTGTCACCTTTTACTTTCAATAACAGCAACATATTCAACAGTTGAGCAGATTTTCTGACATTTCAATCAGCATCACAGGATTGTCAACTATAATTCAGTTATTTCATCAATATTTCTCTTTAAAACTTATTTTCTTCCAGTCCTTGTTTTGGCTACAGTAGTAAAAACAAAAACATGAGATGTCTTTTTTACTCAGCTCAGATATAAATCAGTAACTATAAAAAATGTTAAGTAATGGTTAATTTTTTGAGGAATGTAAAAAGTTGGTTCTCTATTGATTGGGAAAAGAATGGAATACAAATGAAAATAATAATATCATACTTGGGACAGTTACAGTAATGACATATTCATGTTATACATCAAATTTACGATATTTATGTATTCATATATGTATTAATACATATATTAAATGACTTATAATGACAAATATTGATAAATTTATTGCCAAATACAAAAACGTCTTTCGGAAACACTTATGGCCAAAACTAGTAAATGAAGCCTTCAGAAAGTCATATTTTCCTCTCTAATGATAATGGTCTGTAATCTTAGAATTAGACTTTAACATTTCTTAATATATAAAGGAATTGTAACTAATTTAAATATATTTTATATATATTTACTTAGGATGTAATTTATTCTAAATTTTATTTAACAATAAATTGCTTATGATAATTCTTAATACATTTCATGCTATCAAAGTGTCGATCTTGTCTTTCCTGAGTAGTAATTGTAACAATTTTGGCACTGAATGGTTTAAGAACAATTTGCAATTGGCGCGTATATTTGAAAGACATATCCTCAGAGATATTGTAAGGGCCATCCAATACAGGAAAATGATATATGGCCAATAAGAAAAATGCTGTTATACAAACTCCATGGTGACTTTAGCATCTCCTCGTTTGCCAGGATATAGCAGATTGGCTGGGTCAGTTGCTCAGAATAGATGAAGAAAGGATAACAAGAAGAGTGTATGAGAACCGTCCTGATGGTGTAAGGTTTAGAACTCAACGAAAGGATAGATGGATTTTCTTGGAAGATCTGAGGAAAATGAGAATAAGTGCTGCGGGCACATGATTGAAACAGATGGAACTTGGAGATTGGGCAGGCCAAGGGTCGCTTTAAGCTCCACCCTGCCATGAAAAAAGAAGAATGACTTAAGAATAGTGAAAAAATTAGCTTAAATTTACCAATAATGAAACTAAAGCCTTGTAATTTTAGAATAAGAGGATAAATTTCAACCTGTAAGCTTCCTCTCATTACTTATAATGAAAGAGAAATTTTTTTTACTATTAATTGGAATTTGGCGGCTCCATACAATACATGCTGACAAGCTTATGGATAAACTAAAATACACATACAAAATTAGAAGCACTTGTAAAAAGATGTTGGACAACACTGCAGATGGTTACTTCTATTTAACTTAATAATGAATTATTTAATACATTTTATTTTATACATACAAAATAAATATATAAATGTACATATAAAACTCATTAGAATCTCAGTGGCAGTGATTAATAGGAATCCCATATAGCAACAAAACTTTTATTTTTAGAAGTTAACAATTTTTTATAATAAGCTAAGTCAAATAGATAAACAGCCTTCAATTCATTGAAATATAAGCGCTATTTCTTAATTCTAAGGTTGGAATAAACATTTTAAGTACAGTGCATAAAGTAATTATTAAAAATGTATTAGTAATAAAATACATTTGTGGAACCTAATTACTAGAACTATTTTAATTTATAAATTATAAAAAAAGCTCCTTTTTATTTTAATTTTTATTGAATACACAAAATAGGTAATTTCTTAAAGGGTCGAATACTTGCAATTCTTTATTTATTTATTTATTTTTTAAACTAATAAAATCAGTTCTTGACTTATCTTACTTAGGCCAACAACAAGGAATTAAATTAACATATTTAAGTACATTTCCTAAAATACTGAAAAGCAAAATTCTCCCTGTGTACGGGGCTATAAATTCTATCATTTTAAAATACTTCAAAGAATTTTTTTTAAATATAAAACAGTGCTTAAATAATCTTAATATGCCAATGTACATCAGCAAAACATTAATAACTTTATAAAACTAATTTAAACTTCTTATTAATTAGACAAAAAAAGCTAACAGTCGGAAAGTATTTATGTTGTAAAAGTCTTTAATTTGATTTACATACTAATTAAATAACTTTGGAATGCTTAATTATTTCAGTAAAACCTAAAACAACCTATGTTCAAAAACAAACACTTAAAAGTAAAGGAAGGCACAGCAGAGAAGGAATGATGGTACAACAATAAAGAAATAATTATATCATAAGAAAACAGCTAACGAACTAAAAACATACTTGTCTGTAAACAAGTATGTCATTATAAATGGAAATTGGCCGAAAATGGAATGCACAGCACGAGGAGAGGTGATGAAGCAATTTACTTATTCTTAGTCTATAAGTAATGTTTGAAGTCGAGCCTTCAATATATCCAGCTTGGATTGTTATCCAAGACCGTGATCCTCGAAAAATCCTTGTGGAGTTTCTTCCTGCAATATTGAAGAAAAATAAATTAAGACATTTTAACATTAATGAAGCCACGATTAGTTTTACAACTTTAAAAATAAACAATCTTAAAAGCATTTTATAAACATCAGAACAACCTGCAGTAATAATTAAAAAGGTATGTTTTGGTGATGATGGTCAAGCCATAATAAATTTGAACCATTTATTATTTGTTGAATTAGATTATTTAAATAGATACAATATAAAACCTTAATACTACTCTGTTAAACAAATATGTGGCATTTATTAATTTATTTCAATGAGTAAAATTTGTTTCAGAAGAATAATCCATTTATAACTATACAAACTAAACAAAATAAGATAGAAAATTCTTAGCCAGCATCGTCAAAAACATATAAATATATTCAAATCAAAGTTGTAAACTATGTTGCTATCTTCGAGAAATATAATTGGACTCAGTTTTGTATAGCTAATGAGACAACGAATCCATAAATTTGTCATTAAAAAATCTCAATAAATATATAATTCAAGAAAATTGATATTGTTAGTTTAGTAGTATTTAATAATTTATAATGGGATTAATATTCCATGACATAAAATTGGCTTTGCAAAATTTATGGTGGTATTGAAAATCCGACATCTTCTTTACAATTATTTCATTCCCTAAACATCCTTTCAAAATTACAGAAACATTTGAGTGTTCATAAATGTATAAGTATTTATTACATGTTTCTAAGAAAAGAAAGATAAGGCAGAGTTTGGCTTGATAACCTGGAACCAAAGATGATAACAAATATCGCCACTTTGCAGATTTTGGAATCCCACCTCTTTTCTCTACTGTTTTTACCTCAGTCCAAATGATTTTTCACTGCTATATATATATTATTATGATTTAGCAGAAACAAGATTCCTTGCATCTTAAGGCAAAATTTAACACATTGTATTGCTATCACTGTAAGTGACTGGATACAGAACAATATAATGATTTTCAGAGACAGCTTTGAATTTTTGTCTACGAAAACCAACAAAAAGAAAAAAAAAGAAAATGAAGCAATGTTTATTTGGTTTTGTACTCAGTTTGACGTCATATTTGATTTATTTAATTTTATTATTTTTTACATTAAAAATAAACATTAGTGCTCCTATAATAGGTGATTTCAATTAACTTAAAAGAAAAAATATTTATTTTATTTTGAGTAGCATAATTACGCAAATATTTATTATTTTTTCGTAGATGAGACACATTGAACACAATTTAAATAAATGGATTAAGTTCTATAAAAGAAAAAAAACAAACAGAAACATGAACAAAGATTCTCAAATATGTTCAATAATACATTCTTGACAGTAAAGATGAAAATATTTAAACCACAAAGCTGATTAAAAATTTCTATAAAAAATAAAACTAAACCTTTCATATAAAATATATTTTTTTAAGAATATTAAATATTATATAATTCAGCTGACTAGCAGATATCTTGTTTAGATTAGTAAAATGAAAGTGTTAAATTAACAGATCAGAAACAGAAAGCAAAGGAGAGAATGAATCTACTATCTACTTCAATACTACAAACTACAAGCAGGGAGTTGCAACATATAATTTTGACAAAATAAGAAAGCGCTCGGAAAAAGCTGTTTAATTAAGTTAAAGATGAATTAATATTTAATCTATTATTACTAATATTATTGAGATGAAAGCATATATGATCATACACGAGCGTTTTGTTTTGCCAAAGGGCCTATATGTTGCAAGCCCTCGGAATTATCAAAAATAACATACCTATAAGCTGTAATGAGGAATCATCGAGGATCTGTTAAGGCAACATGTAGACCCTTTTCCAACTGACAACACTCAACGCGCGGTTAATAACAGAGGAAAGACTCTTAAGCCAATAATACTTTTTTAATATTTTAAGCATGCTAGGTTCGTGCATATTAAAATTTTGTGCATTTCCTTCCTTTATAGGATATTTTAATTTCAGTATTAAAATAATTTTAATTTTTTTAGGTATATTTAGATAAAGTTGCTTCAAAACAATATCTTTAAAAAGTTTCAGATTGATATATAAAATATATGGGTTTGAAAATGATTAATAGTGATTTAATAAAAATAAGCTATGTTATTATTAAAAAAAATTTATTAAAAAGATGAAACTAGAACATGGACAGAGAGTTTCAATACTCAGATCTTGATAATTGTTGCTATACTATTAATATAACATAACTAATTAATTCTGAGTTCTAAGTATGTCAAATATTTTAACATTTTTTAATATTATCACATTAAGGATAGAGATTCTGATTTCATTATTATATAAATTTATGTTAAACAAAATCATGATTAGAAAATTATGCAAATTAAACAGTATACAAATAGAGTACAGCTTAGTTATATAACAAACTATCAACACAAAAAATAATAATACATAAAAATATACTAATTTATATAAACAACAAGAATAGAATTAAACTAATTGTTCCATATAATAAATAAATTCCCCAGTAAATCAAAACAACACAAAAGTTTAGCAGATAATTTTATTAAATTTAAAGCAAATATGTCATTTACCATCGTAGTGAGATAAGGCAAAGAGGAGAGGTTACATGACCAAAATTCATACATACGTAAGTTTTTATATGTATATACAAGAAATCACAATAAAAGTGGAACAAAATAATTTAAAAATGTTTGTTTCATTAACTAATCATGAATAAAATTTAATAATTTATTTTATAAGTTATAAGTAAAATAATTATAACTTTATTATAACATGATAATTTACTTACTTGGACTAATGATAAGTTTTTGACAGAAAAATTTTGAGTATTAAAGACTATATTAAATAAATCACTGTTCCCATTAATATAATTAACAAATTATAGCAATAATGAAATGAATAAATAAAAGTAATTTAAGTGGTTTTCTACACTCTACATTAAAAATAAACCTAACTCTCAACTCTTTGCTGAATATCTTTTGACAGTAATACTTTATTTAAGAAACGTAATGCAAAGATAAAAATGTATATATTAAAAAAACAAATACAACTATACCACCAAAAATTCAGATCTATAATTTAATTTCAAATAAGTTAATAGAGGAAAACAAATTTAAAATAATTTCTCTTAGGTTTGGAAAATAAACAATTTTTGTGAAAACTTGATTATTTCCATCGAAAGATTCATGTTTTTGAGTATTACATATAATAGAGAAATCAATGCATATCACTTACACATAAGCTGTGTTAATATTGCACTTTCATAATTCGAAATAAAACAGTGACAACTAATTAAATAAAAAAGTAATAATCTTCTGTGCAATTGAAAAAAAAAAAGAATTAAAGACTAGAAAATAATCTAAAAAATAAAATAAATCTAAACTAAAAACAAATAGAGAGTGCATCTGTCATGGTGACAATAGAATAAATTGTGCAATTAATCTGAGGAGAACTTACATGCACCGTTATTCATTTCCTATTATTATTTAACACTAGCTATTATAAAAAGATATTAAGAAAATTGTAATAAATATTGCAAATACTAAATATATTGTTTTATTTTCTTTCTAAAATAACATTTGTTTAAACTGATAGTTTTCAACACCACTTTGGTCAGATGTTTGGTTGTACCTATAAAACAAACCTCCCCCCTTGCATCGTATTTCAGGAATGGTTAGACAGGAGGTAAAAGAAAAAAGTGTTTAATATATCAAACTTATATAACAAGTCGCCATCTTTTTACCAATATCTATTTTGTTAGACTGGGAACGGTACGCAATATGTAAATTTTGAAGAAAGAGAGAATAATATCAATGCAAGAGGAAACCAGAAAGGCAAATTACATAACTCTTAAGGAGTAAGTAGGATAAGTACCAATTCTTAAGGATTTGGTCAACCTTTCTTGATACAGGGGAAACGCTTCTTCAGATGTTCATAGTTGTCCTCATGTGGTATAGAACTATTCGCAATAGAACATCTCATCTGTAAGAAGTTAAGAAGCTAATTTGACAACAGTGCTCTGAGCTCTAGGGATGGTTAACTTCTGCTAACACGTATAATATCTCTCAATACCTTACTGAAATCCTTATTGGGTCAATGAAAATCATAATAAATGTATGTTCACTATTGAAATTTTAACACACTAAAAGATATAGCTCTTTTGTTTCAATTTCTTAGATTTATAAGAAATTGTATCACCAAATGTTCTATTGTATACCAAAAACAACATAGTGACAACTTAAACTATATTAATCATTGTTGGCTCTTAAGATAAATTTAAAATTACCTTACTAATTGTAAAAAAATATCTGTCAATATCATAGCCATTAATAATTTCCTAGTAAAAAGATTCAGTGTTAGTAGATTTTGATATTTATTAGAAGTTCTAAAAAGAAAAAAAAGTTTAAATATCAGAAATCCTTGAATACATATTTGGTAATGAAGGTATTATGTTATCTAACATTTACCGGTCATGAATCATCAATTGTGATGTCAAAATGTCAACATGGATTAATAACTTTAGTAATAGTAAATATGCCAACTAGCCACTTGTACTGTTTGGTTAAATAAATAGATATTAAAAACTGAATTCACCAAAGATGCAGTAATTATTTTTAAAAAAAACACGAATTATTACATAACCACTAAAAACAGTTGTAATTTAAAAAGACATTAAGGTATATTTATGTACTGTAAGATAATTTGAAAGCTAAAAATAACCAGAGGTAATCTATTCCTACTAGTAATAGTGATATTTCAGTGCGGTGGTGAGAAGAATTTTACAGTGCACCAAGGATTCCTCAGATTATTATGAAAAACAAATATAAGTGATTTATGTTAACAGTGGCATGACAAATGCAAAGCTGAGAAAACTTCTTTTACAACAAATAATTCTTTTAAGTTTAACTGACAACTGCAAGTAACAACCTTAACATATACAACACAGATCACATTATTACTTCCACACAGTTTTCAAACCATTTGGCAATGTATAAAGTTTACATATATAAATATAGATTTTTATT